CCACCTCTTGTGCTCTACAAATGTCTTTGATTGTTTTCAATAGCCAGTTATAATACAAAATGGGATGGTAGGGATCCTCGATCCCTGAGGTTACTGTGTTATTGTTAAAGAATATTCCATAGTCCCCTTATCCATGCCACCAAATCCTCAACTCCTTAATTACATGGAAATGGCTCAGAGAGTTGTGTTCCATCAAAGCTCAATCCTGCTACACAGAGTTGTGATTCAATCAGCACAGGATCCGTCTCTGAAAGCCCGTATGCTGCTCCTGTTGATGAATGTAGACTAATTCCTTTATTCTGTTCAAGATGATCCTCTTAAGCACTTCTCCTGGTATGCGTGAGTGGGTGTGACCGTTTTGTAGTTTGCGCAGTTGCAACAATCTTTATCGGAAAGAGGTTAAAACCTTTCCAGCATGCTGTCAAAGGAGGGATGTTGGCACGTGTCGCTGCCTTTTCCGGATTGCATTTAAATCCAACCTTGTTCTAAGTAGATAAAGTATATCCTTTCCTTAATAGTGTCTTGTCACGGAGAGGTCAGTAGAATGCCTGGATGTGGATGAACGCTTTGGCTAGTGCAGGAACCGAAACCTTCTAAGAACAAAACTTACTTTGACCAAAGCATTTGAAGGATTGGCGGTATCCTCTCGTACTGTGTATCTGGCCTTTGGAGAGGAAAAATGTTTCTATATTCATGATATAATCATCTCTATGTACTTGTTTGGGTATAGCTATATCTAGCTAGGTAATGATTGACAGTTTGACAGAGGGCGAGGGAAAGCTAGAAGGAGGCCCACAGACAGTTAGGCCACACATAATAAGACTCCAAGCATGCAATGTTGTAGAGATATGGAGACAGAAGAGTCTTTGCCACACTGTGGATTGCAGAGGCCCTGGAAAAGATGGTGTAGGGTCACTAGCAGTGGGCCAAGGGACGAGAATGGGGGAACCAGGCTAGCATCAACACAGAAAGGGCAGGCCTGTGAAGCGTCGTTAGTGTCTTGGCTTGGTTTATTTGAGTGTGGGTCGCTCATATAAATCTCTGTGAATCCAAGAATCCAAATCTCCAATGTAGCCTGTGGGTCTGTGTTACTGGGAGTTCCTGGTCTGTGTGGGTTAGGGTCAACACGGGTCAGATAAAGTCAACGAGTTTGAGTATATTTGTAAAATAGTTAATACTGCAAAGAATGAATCCACAACACCACCAACTTGCTGACGAAGCCACAATGCTCCGAAGGCTCATTCTTACAAAACCCAATAGTCAGTAAAATGTCCTATTGTCTAAAAGCCCATTTGCCTGACACCCTGTTATCCTAAAAACAAACTCCCATTGTTCTGAAAGCCCATTACTCCAAAAACAAGAACATTCTGTGCAACAAATAAAAGTACCCGGCTACATTTTAGCCAAATTAACGTCATCAAACCCTCTGGTCGTTTTTGCTCCTACATTGGCGAATGCATGTCCCCCCCGACTCTACCCGACTCTACCTCTGATTGGATTACACTAATATTCTTACCTTGAACCTAACTAATCTCACTCCTCATGCTTAACACAAGCCAAACCAACGTTCTGTTTGATGTATACAAATATTACCGAACTATAACAAAAAACAAAATCTGTTACAAAATGACATGGGCGGACATTGTCAGGGCAACGGCACAATATGTTATCATGGGGCTTTTTGATGACAGTTTTCAGCAGATAAATAATCCTCGACTAGGAATCTGAAAGACAGACAGAAAAAAAGCCTCAGCAAAATCTCTTAAACGGATGATGGTCCCACACAGTGATTTACACAGGCAGAGGGTTCGCTTTGAACTGACTTCCCCGGCCTTCAGTGTTCAGTGAATTCCCCACAGTTTAGTGTGTCTCTCTGCTATGCGTCTGTTTATCCTGCCAGGCTGTACGGCTCGTTGTCTGTTTGTTGGCGTGTCTACCTGTCCAGTTACCATCTGTCTTTCAATTTGCTAATCGCCGCAGCTGAGGTATCACAGTTATCTGTTCTTAACAGTAATCTTGACTATTTTTCTTTCTTTTTTTTCGTCTTAAAATACAACATGCCGCTTCTTAGAAAAGTGATAAAGAATATAAATACACCAGGAATCATATACAACAACACAAACTTCCACATGCAGTGCACCAGACTTCGGACTTCCCCGGATTAGTTCAGGAAAAAGTGACACAAAAGAAAAACCTTGCACAGCATTCATGCGTCACACGTTCACACATGAACTCTGATGGTAATGTGTCGCGTTCTGCTTTGTTGGCATTGCTAATACCTGCCTCCTCTACTACGGCAACAACCCCACCGCAGGCTTCATCTTATGTAACGGGAGTGGTTTGATGTTTGCAGTGAGGATTAGCAGTGCTGTCTGATACATGAAAACTCTAAAGATCTATCTTGGAAGTCTGCCGGCCATCACTGCTGATACGATATTAACTGGACTCCCATACTCATGAGGGAGTTTTCCCTGGGCGCCCTTGGAGTGGCACAGTGCAGCATACAGCAAGTAGGAGAATTGAGTGTGGAAGAGGAAGGTATAAAAAGTCTCACTTTGGTTTTGGGAAAGCACATTCCCCTCACAGATGTATTGTAAAATTATACAATATATTAAGAATACAGGGTGCACTGTGTGAAATCAATTCTTCTTGCTTTATTAGTTACTGATGGTGAATTTTTGTGCCTTTACACTAGGAAGAGGAGATGATGCAAAAAAAAAACATTTATAAATCTTGTAATTATACATGTCTTGGTTGTGGTTGTGGAGCATTTTGGAAGAAATGAAGAACTGAAAATGTTGCTACTGGCACGAACAATCTGAGACAAAAACTAAACTGCGTGCGAGACTTGACCTTGTGTCGTTTAATCTTATCCGTCCGCCCCCATTTCTCTCACGTACACAAACACAGACAGACTCTGACATGCAAGTGCTGACGTGGTGAAACAACACATAAATAATTCATAAAACAACCAATTTAAACTTCTATAGTGCGTTTTTTTTTGTGCTCGCTTTTTCTTGCTGCTGTGCTTCATGGACAAATAATTTGAGGTGTGAAGTAGTAAAAGAGGCTACAATGCGGTAATATTACTGCGCATGAGCCACTTTGAATCCTCTGGAACAAGTGAAAGGATAGAACACCAGACATAGATAATACCGCCAGAATGCTCAGATTTTGACAAGCGTCATTGACTGCTGTATCCTAAGAGTGAGACACGGACCGGAGGAGACCTAGAAATAGACAGAAGAGACAAAATAGATAGAAATAAACAGACGCATGCATTTGTTGAAGAGACAATTATGAATTCAGCCTGGGGAGTTTGGCCAAGTCGCTGTGCCTCTGTGATGTTTCCGCTGCTTTGATCTCCCTGCGTTAACTCTTTTTGTGTGGCCGCCTCGTGCCGGCTGTAGCGTTGGCCGGGGCTACCGAGGTCCCGAGAGTGCTTCCTGTTGGGACTCTGGGAAAAATCACTGAAATAATTTAGGCATGTAAGTTGTGAAGCAGATTCCCACCTCAACCATACGGCCTGAGGTTGAGGCTTTTACATACAAGGAGGTAGAGTAGGAAGGGAGGGAGATTATGCTGTTGCTTGTCAAATCGTTTTCATTTGTTTTACTTTGAAGTGAGTTCTTGAGTATTGCAGATGTTATCCGTGGGTTTCCATGTAATGCATGCTAACACACACAAAACTGTATAGTGAATTTTAATGACTTCATCTCACTGTACCCAAATATGATGACTTCAGATCTGGAAAAAATCAAACAAAACTTGACATTAATGAATTTGGAATGCACTTGGACTTGAGCCTTTTGACAGACATCTGATGTTTTATCTGCCCCCCCTTCCCGCCATGTCTGATTCTACTTGTTTCTACACGGTCAGCAGACACAGGTGATCTTTGGATCAGACTGTCGCTCCACTTCGTAGCTCTCCTGCTCCACCACGCTAGCGGGCATTTAATGAAACGGTAATCTAGTCACGCGGCTGCATGGGTGTTTTTTTCTTTGTACGTGTCTGTCTGTCTGTGTTCTCTTTGATCCGTTCGTCATATGGTCTTACAGCTGTGTGCTGACATGATTACAAAGGCCTGGCCAGATGTGCTGACCAGCTGGCTATGACACCAACATTGCCCTTTCTTTGTGTGTGTGTGTGTTTGTTGGATAGGATAAGAGGCAACATATTGTCGTAATGGCAGGTTCAGAGATAACACACCTTCTAACTCTTTTTTTCCCGTGGATGTGCTTTTTGAGATCGTGAGCAAGAATACAATTGGCTCTCAGCGTTGGTTTAATTCCGCGCTCCCCACTTGACTGACACTTGAGCCCACCAGGGAAACGTTTGTGTGTGTATTTGCGATGGAGATAGAACGTGGTCAAACTCCTTATATGGTCGTGTAGTTTGGTTGGGAGCTTGTGTGCTTGCAACAGAATGAATCAGAGTGCTGTTACATCAGAGGTACGGGCAGGCGGGATGGATCACTTGCACTCTTATTGGATCACACACTTCCGTTTCAATGTGTGTGTGTGTGTGTGTGTGTGTCTGTGTGTTAGCGCGAGAGAGCGAGGAATGACAGAAACACACATCATCAGATGGCCTAGTTTTCAGCAATACAGGGATGAAAGGACAGTTATGCAGCAGTAAGTATGTGTTGTGCAGAGAGACACATTGGAAATGGATGGGAGTCAATAGACAGAATACAGTACAAGTACTCAATTTATTACTTTGTTGAGTAATTTGATCAAAAATACATCTGTATTCAAGTGGATAACTCATCACTTGGTCTACTGCCAGCGACAACTGTTTCTCACCTGTAAAAACAAAGCTTTGTGGGATCAAAATTGGGAAAGTCATATTCTCCTTAGCTGCACTCCATGTGGCAAATGAATTCTGCTCTTCTCAAACCCTGTGCAGCAGTAAGCTTGAAAGCACTAAATTCCCATATTCACACATAGAATCATATATTGCATTGGCGTTGATAGTGTTTTCTCCATTTTCTTTAGGAACATTTCAAGGCCAGTGGGTTGGCGGGATGCGACACGGCTATGGAGTTCGCCAAAGTGTGCCCTACGGCATGGCGGCCGTCATCCGCTCCCCTCTCCGTACTTCTATAAACTCTCTCCGCTCCGGTTCGGAGAACAGCAACGGCACAGCTCTGCTGGACCGGACCGGAGCGGTGGTCCCCGGTCCTCCCCCCGGTCCCGGCACTTTGACCACCAGCGTGTCCATGTGCAGCACGGGCAGCAGCGGCAGCAGTCCCGCCGTGTCCCGTGGGGGCTTCGTGCTGACGGCACACAGCGAGGCCGAGCTGCTGAAGGGGAAGAGGAAAGGCGGGCTGTTCCGGAGGTCCATCCTTTCAGGGCTCAAGCTGAGGAAGTCCGAGTCCAGAAGCTCTTTGGCCTCCCAGAGGTCCAAACAGAGCTCCTTCAGGAGTGAGGCTGGGATGAGCACCGTGTCCTCGGCTGCATCGGATATAAACTCTACTATAAGGTAACAACCAGAGTGGATGATGTAGGATTTAAATGCTCAAAACTGCTTTATATGTCCACATATTACGTCAAAATCATCCCATACCGTTGATAGGGCTTTGGGCCACCCTGTCCTTCCTCAAGAGTGCCAGAATCCCTTTGTTCCCCGCATTGAAAAAAAATAAATAAAATAAACTCTGTCGTGAGGTAATGGGATGAATGATAGTGGGGAGGAAGGTGGAGTGAGAGGACGAGGAGAGATGACGTGCCCGAAAAGAGCTGCCGTCCTTCGCGTGAGGGACATCAATGCAACAACCGGCACCTGTCCTACATAAGCGACTGTAAAATGGATTGGCCCGCGGCCCAAAGGGGCTAATAGGTCAAAAGGTCAGCTTACTAGTGCGTTGGCCGGAAAAAAGGTTTACATTGTGATATCCAGCGATAATCCTGTTGTCTTTGTCTCTCTGCTCCGCTGGGTTTACTTTGAGCAGACCGGCTTGTAGTCACACTGAGCCGTTAACTTAAATAATCTCGTACTTGGAAAGACCTCTGGAATTCCAAGTATACTGAAGAGAGGGGCCACAAGTTACTCAACAACACACAGCTGTGTTCTTCCACAGCTCTTAAACCAAACCATAATTCTACATGTAAAAAACAACCTCTGAAGGCTACTGTATGAGTGCAAGATCAAACGCAACATTTTTATATAAGGCATTGCAATTAATAAGTTATTGATGGATGTGAGAGATACTCTTCCTATTTGAACAGATCATAGCGCAAAATCTTCTGCCAGGGAAAACGTACTAAAAGGAAGTAGAGATCTAATTAATGGACCAAAAGAGGCGAGATAAAAACAAGCTTGTGAAAGCTCGTTGAGCAAAACACTTATTCCTTAGCAACTTCAGAGAGACTGAGCAGTGGCTGACCATGAGGGGGGCAAGGACGAGGCAATGAGGGGGAAACATCAGTAAAGCACCTTCTTGAGATGTGAATTCTTCACAACACATCCCAAAAAAATAAGAATTTTTCATTTGGGAATTTAATTTTAATATTTGTTTCAATTGTACTGAAATATTTTCAGAAACACCCTTATAATTTCTCTCTGCAAGTGGTGTCCATTTCCATGGTTTTAGGAGGGAAATTTAATCTGGGAAGTATTTCTTTGCAAGCATGAGTCAGGCTTTCGGGAGCCTTGTTGTTATGGTGTGGTCGCCAACTTAAGTACTGTTAGCTACCCTTAAAAGTTGCATATATTGTTATTTCTTCATTTGTCCTTCTGTATTAATTGAACAAACAAAAAAAAAACACTGAACCCACCGTACAACCTCTTACCTTTTCCAGTCTTGGAGACGCAGACGCAGAGTTGGCCGTCGCAGACGACGACGTGGACGCCACAGCAACTGAGACCTACTGTGGGGAGTGGAAGAACGACAAGCGGACCGGATTCGGTGTCAGTCGACGCTCCGACGGCCTCCAGTACGAGGGGGAGTGGCTCAGCAACAAGCGCCACGGCTACGGTTGCACCGCGTTTCCCGATGGCACCAAAGAGGAAGGGAAGTACAAACAGAACATCCTGGTGAGCGGCAAAAGGAAGAACCTGATCCCACTCCGGGCCAGTAAGATCAGAGAGAAGGTGGACCGAGCCGTGGAGGGAGCACAGAAAGCAGCCGACATCTCCCGACAGAAGGCAGAGATCGCTCTGTCCAGGTACTGGCCTCGTGGGGATCTGACTCTCTTGTTTGTAATTTCCCTCCATTCCTTTGTTTTAAATAAATGTCTGGTTTGTGTGTATGTCCAGTATAGGTCATGGCTAATTTAGGTAAACAGGGTAATTTTACATTACCATAGAGCTTGAAAGTCCCTTATATCCCGGCACTCTCTACATCAACACAAATCTTTCTGCAAAACTAAAGTACTTTGTTATTGTGTTTGTTTTTTAGCCCCTTCTTACTGGTTTGAAAAGGTTTAAAGTCACGTGTTGTACTTCTGAACACCAATCAACTTTTGCAACTATGCATCATGTCTAGCAAACCTACAAAGATGGGATCAGTTTTTTTGGTAAATGCTCCAAATTGGATGGTCCTGCCGACGGGGGGGGGGAGTGGATGGTCGACGGGGAACACAGTCATTTTCAAGCGGGCGCTCATGGCGATCTACCCCCACCTCCTCGCGCAGTTCGCCCGAATAATAATAATGGGGTTGATGGTGGCGCATGCGTGGTGACCCGATGTGATATATATATTTTTTCAATAGCAAGTGATCTACCAGCACTGCGTTGGTGACCGACCTGTCTAACGCATGCGCTCACTCACAGAGTGAAACCCCCAGTGGACTTTTAGGAATAGCAGCTACTTTTACAGAAATGCAATTTATGTCTCTCTCTCTCAATTTATGCAATTTATGTCTCTCTCTCTCAATTTATGCAATTTATGTAATTCTCACAATAGCAAAGTCAAAGTGGGCCGCACTGGACCCCCCGGCGGGCCGGAATCGGGCCTTAAGTTTGACACCTGTGCTGTAAGGCAACAGTGGTAACCACCACACCACTGCCCTGATACACCATTGTCACTAGTGGTGCGATTACTTGGGTCAGAGAAAGGGGAATGAGGTTCATTGCCAGTCGTCGAAACGTTGAACCGAACTGAGCAAAAATGATTCCAATGTGCAAAGTGATGAGCAATGACCATTTCTGATATTCCTCACCTTCCATCTTAAGCGTTGGTTCTTCTCTCAGATGGGAGGAGCACGTGTTCTTCCCGCTGCTGGTTTGGGTTGTGGCTGCGCGGGCGGGTCTTGACAAGTTCCCATTGATGGGCTGTGGACGTCCACGCAATACATGCGCAAACACACTTTGATCACAAATTCAAATGTCACGGACGCGTACTCTCCGTTTCTGTTGTACCAATGTCCACCTGCTGCTAGCGTGATAATGCTGAAAATGTTTTACGTTTGGGACATTTACATCTCCATGGTGTTCTTGGCCTCAAGTACACCACATTCAGTGGAAAAACGACAATACTTATGATAATAAAACGACAATACTTATGATAATAAAGGTAGTCTTTTGTGCAGGCTTTTGTTTGAGGAGTTGGCTCTACACATCTACACCCCTGTGGATGGCCCCGTTCTGCATTATGATGGAGATCAATGATGTTTGGCCAGGAATATAAAGCAACAATTTTTGTTTTTCGGCTCAGGACTGAGACACTAATTAGCTATCCTGGGACCTGTAATCATGGATACGCATTGATATTCTTGTCATGTGGGTGCCCATCATAAGTAGGGCTATGACCCACTTCAGGTCACAGGGCCATGGCCACTGTGCTTTTGGGGTAGCACTTGTGGTCCAGGCTTCTTTTTTCAAACATCTGCAGTTTGGTCTGTAGCGGCAAGGTTTGGATATGGAAATTAAATAATTGTCGACGTAAACATTTTGATAATGAGTTCAACTTACAAACTCAGCGATTTGCTGCTTGCTTTAGTGGGCTTTAACGGCAGAACAAAGGCTCAGCTCCTTTTTCCCTTCTCCCCGGCAGGAGGAAAAGTCAAAAGAATCACAATTCTATCACTAGTCCTGATCACACATGTTATCATTTCTACCACTGGGCTGCTCTTTTGCTGAAATTCGCTTTACAGCAATCTCATTTCACAGTGCAATTTATGTCCGCCAAAAGATGGTTCGCATAATAGAAATTTCTACCTTACTTGCCCACTGCCTGTGGCCTTATTCAAACAGTATTTCCATGATACCATAGAAACTTTTAAAAAGAAAAAAACAAATGTATCTGAAGCAGATGGACTTTAAGAGATTTAAGAACAACCCCCACAAGCAATACTACAACAAGCAGAGCAGCTCACAAACCACCAGCAGCGTCCCTGCAGATCTTCCTTTAAGTTAACAATCCATAAAAAGTAGTGTTTTATATTTGGAATCTTGAAACAGAACAATACTGTGTCACGCACTGACATCACGGTTGATAACTAACTTCATGTATGTACATATATGCATTGTGTTGGCACGTGTTCAAGAGAAGATCCCCCGTTGGGATGCAGATGGACGATCTCCTCAGTCAGTCGCATAGATGAAAACGGTGTTGGAGAGAAAAAGACCATTAGAAAGCCACACGAGAGAGAGAGAGAGAGAGAGAGAGAGAGATGTCTGCATTGTGCAGCAGAGACGCTCGCGTACGAACACCCACACACACAAGAGGTTACACCAGTCGAATCCCTAACGATCCAATCCTATTAGTCCTGACGACAGCCTTCTGCTGAGGCCACAGCTCGCTACAGCCGCTCACCTAACTCATGTCACACGGTTCATATGAAAAAGAATGAAAGGAAGACGGTGTGATCTCTCCTCGCTCGGAGCCTTTCCCGTTTTTATAATGCAACAATTTGAGACCTCGAGCAATTCAGTTCAATTCAAAATTGTATTTTGTTTAAAAAAAAAAAAAAAAGATGAAAAACCTTTCCATGGGTAAAAAAGGGAAGAACCCTTAGGGAGAACGTCAGAGGAGGGATAAAGATATATTCTTCAAAGGTATAATATTATTCTTTACGTAACAATATTCCATTGTCAAATAAGAGGTGATACTTTTATTAACTATTGAAAACCCATGAGCAAGATATTTGCTCCAGCATTTATCTGACAGCAGTTGTTTTTCTCACGCAGAGGGAGGCAGTTTCTGTCCTGATTGAAACCTAAAGCCAACGATAACAAATTAATATAATTACTATAATTCTTCTTCTATCTTTTGTATGAAATCCGTACCCGTAATGCAGGAGAAAACATGTTCTAGGTGAATCTGGCCCATTTAAGGAAAAGACGTAATTATCCTCAGTCAGATCCTCACTTAGGCTGAGGAGGATTGTGCTGCTTTGGCTTTTTGGAGGACAGGAGCTCATGCACAAGGGAGGAGCGGTGCTTAAATTATTTTGCGGGAGGGACCCAGTGTCCTTTGTTAAAGTAGGATGCCACTTTTTGCATGCTTAAACACCGATCTCAAGTAAAAAAGTACAGTGCAAAATTGTCTTTACCCTTCCCTCAACGGAAAATCCGAGGTAGGCCTTTTTGCTAATGCATATACAAACCATTTCTATACACATATAAAACAATTGTAAAAAAACACGTATTACAATGCCAGACATAGTTGGATGCACAGGGATGAATGATTATAAAATATTTTCTTATGGCCAGCAATTTCCAACACCACAAAGGCACATTTTGTTAATAAATATAAAAATATGAAAAATGTATATTATTTGCTCTGGTATATTTGCCAGATATAGAAATGCAATAAGGATTTCTGGGTAAAATGTGTGTAAATGTTGTCCAATGTCAAGTCTTTATTTGATCATGTGACAAGACAATATCTAACTAGTGCTAATAGCTCTCTCTAATACACTATCTAATTGAATTAATTTGACTGTAAACCTCAACCATTTGTTGGTAAAATATATGATTACTCCTAATTGCGGTGTGTTTATGTTAATGTATGTGTGGTGCATGTGTTTCAGTTAGTTATTGGATGCCACTGTTGGGAGGGAGGCAGTGTGTCATTTCATTCGGTCAAAATAACGTGAGTGGACGAGTTTATTTCAGCTCCCAATGATATCAGATTTTTCCCCTAGAGAATTTGGTTTATTGATTTCTGTCCAATGTGACGTGAATCTGAACAACTCTTAGCAGATTACTCCAGCTTTGAGCCGTGCGAGGGATCTTTGCATTTTGCCAATCCTTTCAGGGATGAGATCCGCAACGTTGCTTGAGAAAGGCTGTAAACCTCCTAAATAAATAAAAAAGTTAAAATTCTTCTAATGAGATTGGAATCTGTTTTCTCCGATCCAATCCAGAAGAGTTTAGAATGCGTGGACTTTCTAACTGATGACTGTGGTTCACCTATTGCACTCTATACCTCTTGCCTTGCGTTATGAAGCCGGATTGATGTTGTCTCCTTAGAAACATCTACTTTTAGTAGGTGTCAATCTGAATTTCCATAAAATATTTTTTTTATGAGGTCTTATGCAACAAGCGCTCTTGGCACATTTTTAACAAACTCCATGAAAATGGAGATGCTCTGAATGTTTGCCAAGTTCAGCGCAGACGTTCCAGAGAGGTGATGCAGGTTGCCAAATGTCTCCGATAATGGAGAGGTACAGTACATACAGTGCAGTTGTAGCCTCGTTTTTAAACCAGCTCGTTTTCTGTGGTACACACACACACACACGCAGGAATATGTAACCCAGATACAGACAGCAGAACAGCCTCTCCCTCTCTGGCCAACCCCCAGAGCAGCAGAGCAGGGTATTTCCTTGTGAACACCAGGAGAACACGCCGAGAGGTGAAACACAGTCACAGGACGCTAGCTGCAGATACTCATGGATCTAAATGACCGCAATCTGGTTCAAGGATGATTCAGCACTTTGTCCAACTTTTCTGGCGCACTTGTGTGTTTCTAAACATGTTCGCAGTTCTTTTTTTGAACGTTTATCCAACTTCTTGAGGTTGATTTGCATGTCGGGGAGCAGAGAGGTCAAAGGTCAGGTTTGGCTCCCACACCTGGTAGAAAGTCTATGTCATCTGACAACGTGCCTGATGTCATAGTACATCCCACATTTCTATGTGTGTGTGTGTGTGTGTGTGTGTGTGATAGTTGGCGCGATGAAGGTGGTCACATGTGTTGACTGATGTGGCCACAAGGCAACCTGTGATAAGTTGGTTGTTGTTGTTGTGGTTTGTGATTTGTTGGCACCAGATAACCACACTGGTGACTCACCATGTTGAGTGGATGGAGTCATTCACCGCAATCATATGACCTGGTTTCAGCAGTGAGCTCCACTCACACACACACACACACACACACACACACACACACACACACACACACACTACAAGCAGTGATGCACACCGGAAAGCCCAGTTAGTTATTCAGGTATGAATCACCCTCATCAGCTGGTTCAGAGTAATGACGCAGATGATGGAGTAGCTTAGCCTGAGTCCTGGATTAGACTCTCTCTCCTCGTCTAACCTCAGCGGCTGTGTGTTTCTCTCCCTGTGTGTGTGTGTTTTTTCCACACAAGGGCCGTTGCTCTGGAGATGGTTTGGTTCACCACTGGTCCAGATTGAACAACTTTTAAAAGAATGGCTATGGAGTTGTATAGAGACATTCATGTTCCCCAGAGGCTTGCTTGACTATTTCTCCAATGCCCCAATGAGGTGAATATTTTTAATTTGCGCGTTATATGGTGAACATAATGGGCTTGCTAAACAGTCCTGTAAGAGACCACAGCGGAGCGAATGAGCAACTCTATTTAGTGCATTGCAGCTCAACCATCTCTCTCATAAACCCCGCTGCTTTGTGTCATGACCTTCCACTTTTGTCTGGGGAATCATGTCGATCCTTCCAGGCACTTCATCTGCTAATGATTCATGGATGTTGAACTCGTAATCCCTTTTTAACTCCATCTTTTTTCTTCCCTTTCTGTTTCTCCCCATGTCTTTCACAGTTACATCCTCGGCACCTTTCCTTCATCTCTCCTGCCTTCCTCCCTCCTCGTCACTTCACTCCTCTCCTCTTGCCATCCATCTGTAGCTCTTTACTAGGACATAATGTGGTGTGTTGCACCACCAAGCTCCCATCGAACAGGCTTCTGTTTTATCTCCAGGCAGTTGATTCATCCTGAAACACGTTGTTCCCCGAGCTGACTACTAGTTGGACAGGAAATTGTGAGGGAAAGCGAGAGAGCGAGGAGGCGGAGGGAGGGAGGGTGGGGGGGTATAATAAAGAGTGTTTGGAGGTTTGGTGTGAGCACCAAGGTGAGAGCAGGTTGTGCCAAGAGTACATTCGCATGGAAAACGGGTTATTTATGCCCTTTAAACCTTGGAAACATGAGAGTTCTGTCAAAAATGTCAGCGTGCGATTATATCATTTGGTTCGGTCTTCTCCTCTCTTCTCACACCTTACCTCCCCCGCGACCGGCATGCACGCTCACGCACACATGGTAGTGTTGAGTATACCGCGGGCCCTGGCAAAGCAGAACTGGCAGAGAGCGCAGCGAGGGGCAAAGAGAGGATGGAGGGGGGGGGGATCAATAGCCATCAACATGCAACACTGCATCAAGACTGTTACTGCGCAGAGAGAGAAAATAAGGCGTGTTGGAGAGGATTTTTTACACAAGTCGAGAGCTCCTCGAAAAGACCGTGAAAGAGGGAGACAAAGGTGAGAGAAGGGTTGTAATTGATAGGAAACATGTATTTGATATAAGCGAGAGAAAGAGATGAATCAATCTGCTTCTGATCAAGAAGCAGATGAAAGGGGATTGTGGTGAAGATAGAAGGAGCATTTAGAAAAAGGTATAATGGAACATGGGAGGAAATAACGAGCGAGGGTGATGTGAACATGCTGCAAAGGAGCAGTTAGGGAGGAAGGAGATGTGAAAAGCAGCCAGAGAAAGGAATTATTTTGTGAGAGTAAACACATTTTCAGGAAAATGATTAAAAAGAGGAATACAATACATACTGTAGCTCTGCAATAAATAAGTTACTGTGTGAGGTATCATGTAATATCGTATTTCACGCTGTTCATGTATGCGTTTTTCTGGCTCAGGTGTCTTTTTATAATCGGATTTTCAGCCACAAAATCACACAATGGAGCCGATGAGTCAGATACGAATGAAGCGGTATACACTGTATGTAGTACTACCTGTCAAGGAATTATATACCTGTGCTCAATGGAGATGCGAGTCTGGAGATTTATCATTTGAGTTCCTATTAAAACGTCAGATCTAGGTCGAGCTCAGATCTTGGCAGCTGCAATTGGTGGTTCATTTTTCTAGCATCGTCTTGACGGGTGGCTGCTCCTAGCAACCACCGTCCCGGCGACAGTTTCCAAGTTCTGCATGGAGATTGACTTATAAATATTAGTTTATCAAAGGAATGAATTCAAAACGTGCCTTTCTGCTTGCTAATAAATGGCTTGTTAGCATTCAGCTAACAGACCAGCCATCTTGCTAATGCTAAATTGTCAGTTCTTGATTTTTTTTATTTTAATCTCCAACGGTTGGTGTGCATCAGTGTGTATCCTTTCTGGCAGTGAAAGTAATTTAAAAAACACTATCAACATGTGTTTGTTTTTTTTCTCCGCTAACCGGTCGCACGCACACTACCACCGGATCATCACAACTCAAAAGACTTATAGCTCAAAAATGTTCAAATAGCTGTAACTTATCACACAGGAATTTGAATTGTTTCTGGCCTTCAAAATGATAAAGAATTAATAACATCTTTTTAAATTAAAAGCATAAAAAACCGTGTAGTGAGTAATGGTAAATTATCTTACTACTGCTCCTAAACGCGAGGGAGAAAAAACACAAAATAGAAAAATGAAGAAGTGGCCTCGTTCGGGCAATGAGTGATGAAGTTATTACTAATGTTGAACTAGTTTGTTTTAGAGTGTTGTGTGTATTAATATTAGTTTTGCTAACTTTATAGTAAACCGGGCTACACCAGTGAAAAAGTAAAATACTGTGGTGTATTCAAAGCTTGGTTATCTTGTTTTATCAAAGCACTTTGGGACAATGCTTTTCAGTACAGTTCTTCTCTTTTGAACAGGATCACCTTTTCTCCTTCCTTCCCCGCTGCACCTTTTTCCCTCAAAGGAATTTGTTTTGGACTCCAATAACAACCAATGATGATGAAAATTCAAAGTGAAAAGTTTATTTTATTTATGTGGCGCTTCATATTCTGTCCCCCTGTCCTCTGTGCATTAGGACGGCTCATTCGCAGGGCAAAGCTGAGGCAGCGGTGGAAGCCGCTCAGAAAGCCCAGGAGGAGAGTCGCATGGCGAGGGTCACCGCCAAGCAGTTCTCTCCTTCCTTCCAGCACCCAGGAAATGGTGGGAACACACAACTAAGCAAACACAACTAAGCAAAATCACAACATGCATTTTCATAATCAACAAGAGGCAACAACAAGCAGACACACGTTAACAAAACACATGTTTGTGTGTGTGCCACGGTGATAAAGGTCGGTTTAAGCCACCCTCCAGCTTTGAGTTGGTACCACTGTCACTCACATTCGTACAGCACCACAGGTAACCTACCCACGAGAACATGCACACACACACACACACACACACACACATGCACTCTGACTTCGCATTCCCACACACGGATACCTGAGATGATTCTTTTGCCATCTATTCTCCTCTCAGCGGTTGTCTGTTTCTGTCGCGAGGACACGTAAACAAGAAGCCGTGGTGACATTTTGTCTGTGTTGATGTCGTCCATCCTGGGCTCCATCGTGTGCCCCATCGTGTGCCCCATCGTGTGCCCCATCGCGTGCCCCATCGTGTGTCCCATCGCGTGCCTAACCGTTTCCCATGCATTTGTTTGCAGATAAAAACTAAGGGCATGTGCAAAAATGGTTAGGATTAAAAATCGTTTTTATCATCCCAGATTTCCTACTCCGTTGAGAGATTTATAGTAGAAAAAAAATGTTAATTTAAAAGATTAAATAGTTACATCACTAAGATGGCTTTGGTTTACGCTCGACTCTGGGCCAGCCGTCTAAGGTATAAATCTCATACGGGCCTTGCCGTGCCTCTCTGCATGCCGTGTAATTGATTTGATGGACCTGTCTTCTTTTTGGTTGTGGTTTTGTGTTCTTTGTCGATGGGGATCCAAAATGTTTTTTCAGAAAATTCTTTCCGAAATAATGTGCATGTCATTATTGGCTGTACTACGGGGGCCCTGAAGTGCAAAACACAACGGCAAATAGGAAAACACAACGAAATTAACTCCTTACGGAAAGGGTAGGGCCTTATAGCAGGAAGCACAGGACGGACGCTTCTGATTGGACAGACGGACTGTCTGTCTTTTAAACATCTGTCCAATCAGAAGGAGTTAATTTCGTTGTGTTTTCCTATTTGCCGTTGTGTTTCGCACTTCAGGGCCACCGTAGTATACCGAAGCTTTCATTTAAACGGCAGTTGTGCAATGCTAACAAGTAAACCAAAAATGTCCGTCTCCTTTCTGGTGTCATCTGTCCTTTGCAGGCATGGAGGTGCAGCGCCCCAAACGCCAGGTGTCCAGCGAGGTTGAGGGCGAGGGGCTGTCGAGTAGCGCCGGCACCACCGACAGCCCGGACCTCTACGTCAAGAGCGCGGGCTCCGACGACCCCTCGAACGACGCCGCCACCCCTGACCTCAGCCCCCCTTCCTCCTCACCGCCCCACACCCCGCCTCCCCCGGCCCGGCCGTCCCAGCGAAGCAAAAGTGCCCGCTTCCACCGGCAGACCGCCGTGGACCACGGGGACAAGAATAAGGAGGGTGGAGAAAAAAGTGAGAAAGGTGGAGGAGGAGGGCAGAAGGAGATCCAGGTGATGATGGAGGGAGGAAGCGGGGGAGTCGAAGGGGGTGGCGGAGGAGGGAAGGGGGAGCACCCACGGGCCAACAGCTGGAGCGAGGACAAGAGGAGAGGGGGGTTGTCGAAAGGGGGAGGCGGGCTCAGCGGACCAGGAGTGAGCCGGACCAATGGACACAAACACAGCTCCGCCAATCACAAGTCCCGGGAGCATGGATCATCCAATCACAGACAGGCTAGAGGGGACAGATGGGTGGAGTCGGCCTCGTCGGCCTCTTGGACTTCGGGGCACAGGGCCGTGCACGGTCGGGGGGGGCGGCTGCTGGAGCAGGATGAGGAGAAAATGAGCAATTATGAGATGGAGATGAAGCCTTTACAGCCCAGAGACTCCACTACCCACAAGCCCGATGGGCAAAGGGAGGAGACGCCCGGGCATAGTCACGCTCACGGAGAGGGCCGCTCGCACACAGTGCAGCGCCAGAGGCCTAAGAACCGCGAGGGGAGGGAGGGTAAAGAGGGCAGAGAGGGGGGCAAAGACTCAGCGCACAAGCCGGACCGAGCGGGGGAAAAGATGGATTCACGGCCTCTGCGTCGGGACCTCACCCTCTCCCCCCCTCTGAGGTCCTCCCCCATCCTACCGGAGCAGCAGGACCATAGCCTCACGCAGAGCAAAGGCAACTCGGTAAGCCACCTGATATTGCAGTCTCAAATAATGACACGTCACACTTTACCCCCCTTTTACAGCACTACAGAGAGCACTCGTTACAGGGCTCCCCTCGGCCAACCAATGATCACTGCCAGATCAGCTGACCCCCATAACGTTATATTGCTGAGAAATTCCATCAGTGCAGATTTTGGAGAATTCAAATCTTTGCCGTGACCAGATCTCACTGATGAACTCTCGGCCCCTGTGGACACTTGCAGGGTAAAGAATGAGGAGAATCAAAGGGGTTTCTTGGTGTATTGTTCTGGGGGCATGACATCAGGTCCTTCAGTGAGACTCCGAGTCCTCATCGGCCGCAGGGCTGCTGTTCCTCTCTGGCCTCTGTGTTCAGAGGGTCAGGAGACCATTTTTACAGGATCAAAAGTTCTAAAACAGTGAGGGCTCGAATTCACATCACAAGGATTTTTCTTGTGCAAGTCAATCAATACAAGTTCAACTACTAAAAAGGGTGTCAGTTCTGAAATGGTTCTCTATGTACAACGACATAATCTATAGCACAAAAAAAGCTTTCAAGGGAATCTAATGTATTTGCACGTATTCATTTGTTGCGGTTGTATAAAGATTCCTTTATTATTATCCACCTGCCCTTCCCTGTGTCTACGTAGCAGACAGCACAATGTCCCAAACGGTTTGTAGATGGTCTTTTTAAACGAACAGTCGATGGCAGCACATCTCCCCAGCCAGCTTCGAAAATGTCCCCTTTTGAAGGCGCGGTTTACTCTTGCTTGACATGGATGCTTTCAGGCCACAAATCCAATCCTCAACAGAGAGCCGGCTGCACCTTTTACAGAAAAGCTTGTCCTTTTCAACACTGTATCCAACCAAGAAAATCTCTCAACACGACTTTGATGAGAAGCATCTTTGAAACCATAGAAATCAGGTCAGGTTTGCTGCGTTGCATTTGGTTACATACAATTGAATACTTTTAATACATTGCATGATTGGGGGGTGTCCGGTGTGCCCAGGCCCCTACGTGTCTCTCTCTGCCTCTATATCAGACAGCGACTGTAAGGTGCATTTGTCAAATCTGTCATGTCACTGCCACACATTAATTTGATTAAAAGGACTTATTGCCCACCGTCACGAGGATACATTCCATCCCCGGTGACATAACACAATGTTATCCCACATATTAATATAATCCTGGGGGAGAGGCACAAGGTTTAACCTTGTAAAATAAAGAAAGATTTTTTTTCTGTACTATGGACAAGCGGGGATTACGCCGTTTTAATATCATTTTTTGGCTACGTCTTGAGTCGGGCGGGTGGACGGCCCCCAACCACGCTAATCCTGGATAATGATACAGCCGCAGCATTAGCTAATGAAACCAAGTGAAAAATCATCTGTAAGCGAAAGCCACACGTTACAAATGGTAGCTCTGCGTACACTTGTGTGTAAACTGTTAAACACAGTTTCCACTCTCCTCACACAACCTGTTCTCTTTAATGACTCTTTAATGAGTCTGCAGCAGCGTGGTGACCGGCCCCCGTGGGTGAAGTCGCTTGTTTAATAGTTCAGTGACTGACTGCTGCTGCTGCTGCTGCATGAAAACACAAAGCCTAAAACACACCAAACACAGATATACAGGCAGAGAGAACCCGGCGGTCCTCTCTGCACCTTAGTAACAGCACACTGGCAAACTAGCCCCTTCCTCACTAGAAGGCCCCCTATTGGTTAACCAGCGCTCTGTTGCTAGGGAACAGCTTATGCCTTGCATCAACGGCAGCCAATCGGTGGGCGTGTGTCGGTGACAGGGGGGCGGGGGATTGGGGGGCGGCGGATGGTTGGAGGTTGTGTGTGTGTGCATGTTTGCTGCTGCAGAGAAGCAAGAGTGAGATTTGTGTAAGACGGGTTCATAGCACACAAAGATACTATCACAGTCCGATAAATACGCTGCAAACGTTGGGGTGTTAACAGCCAATCAAACTCCATCGATATGATGCATCTTGCGCAAGACTGGAACACAAAAGTGCATTAGTGCATTAAAAAAAGCGTACTTCTTTTTTTCAACTCTATGTAGTATAATGCCGCTGTACCGAAATAGCTCTGCACCTCTGTGTCCACTGGAAGACATGAACCAGTCGTCATCATGGAAACGCAAAAATGAACCTGCGCGCATCCCAGAGGCTCATATCTACCGGAGGAAGAGGTGCACCCCGATGACTGAGCCCTTTCTTGCAGACAAAAAGCATCATGATGACGGAGAGATCCTGAAAGTAACAACATGAAATCACAATAGATATGAAGTAATATCATACGTATTGTTATGCTGTTGTCAACTCCAGATCACCAAGTCGTTACCTCCATGAATGGGATGTGTCCAAAGACGAATAGACTTTAAAACATGTGTGTACATAACATCGCTTTCTGGTTGTGCAGCACACAAGCTGCTGCATTTTGGCTGGTCTGCAGTTTATGTAAAGCTGTCCGAGGTGGGCCACAAAAGGAAGCATTACAGCACAGTAGTCAGGCACACGTCTCGTCTGAAGGATTTGGCTTAACTTCTGCGGTAAGATCATAAAAGAAGTAATATTATTGCCTCTAAGAGAGTGGAAGTTTTCAGGTCCAGCAGGATGATTGTTCTTCCTCAGGAATATAAGCATTGTTGTAAAACATGTTCGGTAGGGTCAAGTCAGCTGGTGGGATGGTTAAATTACATCTCTATATTAACAACATCAAAGTGGTTCCTTTTCAGCAAAGGGAAAAGAATAACAAATAGGAGTTACAATTTGTTCCGTGATTATACTTAACCTGATCTTTTATTTAGTTATCTCTGAAGAGTAGGCTACTACTCTGTGTTCTGTGCATTTGATTGATTATACACCAGGATGATTAAGAATAATCCGGCTCTGTTTTTGAAAAGTAAATAGTAGTTATTTAAAACAATATGTTGTGAGTTTAGCTGTTTTGGCTGTTTCCGAGTGTGCATTTTCACATGTCATACCTAAAAATATATAAAGAAATAAATGTGCTCTACCAGTCTCAAAGATTGAAATATATACTTTTGTGTAATACAGATCTGTAATGCAATAAATATAATGTCGATAAATACAACAATTACGTAAGCCAGTGGGAGATTTTATTAAAAGGAATTAACGTTAACAGCTACACCATATATTTCCTTCACATTGTTCACATTGTTTTTTAGAAATACACTTTCTCGCAGAAGAGATCTCAAAGCTAGCAGATAAACTAGAGTGACATGAGGTTAGCTTAGCATAGAAACTCCAAGCAGAGGTAGGCAGCCTGCGCCGTCCATATGGCGTATAAAACTATACTTTTGCCAAGCAGCTTCTCTAAAGCTCACTAGTTTAACACAATGTATAATGTTTGTTTGGTATAAAATAACAATACTATATATGTATTCTAAATATAGCTTAATTTAGAATACAGAAATTAGAGTTCCCTCAGATAAGTGTATTTTACAACTTGACTTGTTGCTATGATCTGAGTTTTCATACGATTTACTAATCGGGAATACTAATAGTGAATGATCACAGTCCTTTGGCATAAATGAGAGAGCCAGACAGAAAAGTTATTCAATTATTCAGTAATCAGCATCCCATTTTTTAAAAGAGAGAAAGATGTGTTGTAGTACAGTGTGCGGTTACATGAAAAGCACATACAGTATTTCCTTTCTAAATAGAGGCGGAGGAGCCTGATGATCAGAGGATTTCATCCTCCTGGTTCGGTAATCATCTGTGACGCAGATCTGTGATAAGCCTTTGACCGGATTGATCAGCAGAAACCTTGTTAGCAGCCAACTCTGGACAAATTCATTTGCAACAATGTTGCACTATTGCTGCTTGATATCGGCGCACAGTGAGTCCCGTTGTCTCCTCCCACAGTCTCAATTAAAACCATACTGTAGTCCAAAACACACTTTATGTAAATTCTCATGAAATGTAACATTTCCAAACAAAGGAGACCATTTTAAGGGATTCTGCCTGCGAAAAATAAATATCCGCTGCATCAATGATGATGTCAGTGAGCATTCGAGATCCAATTTCCCATATTTACCCAGAACGAACAGGTGGTCAGAAAGGTTGGCCTTAACCCGCTTGACCCAGGTTGTCAGCAAGCATCTGCTTAAGTGTCATTGAGCAGGACACTGACTTCCTGCCAGGTCCGGGCTGCCGTTCTGCGGCCGAGTTGGCCCTCTGACCGGACTCTGACACAGGAGCTGGGCCTCCCCGCGGGACCAAACGCGGGATTGTATTATTTATCTTAAGATGCAAATTGCTCCTTCGTCGGTGCGCTTCTTAACACGTATCACCGTTGCTGCCGGGTCTGCAAATACACTGCAAATAATAATACAACATAACAATTTGTTGACTCTGTGACATTTGTGCTACATTTTTATTCATGTTTCCAGGCACCACCAACACAAAGCAAACCAGAGGGAGAGGGAGGTACAGTGGGCGCTGAACCTATTTATTTATTAGATTGTCTGAAGAAGTTGCATCGACATATCTGCTTAAGATCTAGGACCCCCCCCCACACACACATTTTTTCTATTCTGCATGGGTGACGTATTTTTGTAGGACAACCACTCAGAAGTAGCATCACACTGGGTCCTTCGACAAAAGAAACAATGGGATCCTATTGGAAACATTGCCAAGCTCTTCCCCTTTCTCTTCCAAACAGCTTGGGCAACATTGTTTTGAGATTTGTTGAAAAGATAAGTGTTTTCTTACACTTACAGCCAAAGGAATATGGGCTTGAGTATGACAGTTATGGTTGATTTGGGGGTGCACCCGATACCAAAAAAAGAATAACGACAAACTCTCTAGTTTCATTAGTTTTAGTACCACACAACAATACTCAAGTAAAGTATCTATGGTGTATTCAGCACACAGCCACGGGGTTATTGATGTGCCTGCGTTATGCACGGTCCAATCAATGTCATTACAATTTTTTAATTATTTCAACACAACAACAAAAACTCCTTTGATCATCATTTACTTTAATATGAATACATTGACAAAATAGAGCAGAACATCGACCTTCATGAAAAGAAATGCTCGATGTGATTTGAATTCACATAAAGCAACTTACCACCTACGGGTGATTTGGCGCTCTGTGGTCCCCTCTTCTTGCTTTTCAATGATTCTTGTTATACCGCATTGCAGTTTTTTTTACATGAATAACGGAACCACGGAATGTGCTACTAAGATATGTCTTTGTTAAATAAGGTAAATGGATGATTAAAAATGTCTGCAAACAGTTATACTGTTGTTGTGAAAACAGCCCTGTGTGTGTGTGTGTGTCCCGATTATTGACACTCTCCCCATTTCTCTCCCTCTCTCTCCCACACAGGCCTACAGCTCTTTCCTGGTTGTCATGGTGATTCTGCTCAACATTGGAGTGGCTATTTTGTTTATTCACTTTTTTATTTAAAGACAGCACCGCTTTCAGAGTCAGCTTGTTGATGCTACAACAACTATACATTTCATGTGAGTATTACAGAGAAAACCTGCAGTACCCCCTTCTGCCCTCCCGCCCAACTCCTCCACCAGGGGGGGAGGGATTGCGGGGGAAGATGAGGACCAAGGCTCCGCCGATTATTATAGCTTGCCCGTGGGTATCCTCGCCCAAGCTCGGCCCGAACGTCCCCGAAAGAGATGCTGGAGCACCCGGCGGACCGGACGCAAGAGGGGCCGACCCGGTCCAGAAGGTGGACTTACGTGAGCTCTAGCAGCTTAAAGAACCAAATGGGCCAAACCGGTCTGATCCCCAGGCCCTGAGAGCTGCAGCTGACACAACAGCGACATGTCTGCTTCCACTGTCTGCAGACAGCACCGACGAGATAGACTTTTTTCATCTTAAATCATAGTTCTCAACAGATTTGTAACTTACAATTTATTTATTACCATATGTTTTTCTCTCATGTACAATATGTTGATGGATATATTCTTTATTTTGTAACCCTCCAGCCCTCTTTCTATAACTCCTGCCTTTTGGTTCCTCCGCCTGGCCCGGGTGTTGTTACCGATGGTTCAACGTGCGTGTGCGAGCGTGTGTGTGCGACGGCTGGCGAGTTGTTGCTTTCAGCACATCCCTCAGATTCGTCTCCTCTGATACACATCTCCTCTCGTTCTTCACGCAGTGTGCCAGTGTTTAAAATGGGTTTATTTCTATTATTGTGGGACCGGGCGTGTGCGTGGTCTCCCCGAGTAGCTCCGTGGCCTTTTGTGCTTCTCTTGTTCACACAACTTCACACAAGCGCCCCCCCCCCATCCAGCTCTTTTACTCAGCGTCAGCTGAAGGCCCCAACCCCTCCGTCTCTTCCCATCTCCACGCCCAGCAGTCATGGATGGAGCTCCGTCTGTGTCCTTGGCAGAGCGCTGCCCCTACTGTGTCAGTAGCAGAGGTGATTCCGGGGGAAGTCCTGCACCCAACGGCGCCAAGCCTGTATGTGTAACGCCAGAAACATGGCTTTGACCGAAATATCATTTTAATAAATCACTGCCTGCGTCTCTCTCAGACATTACCTGAAGACAGTGACTACACTTGCAAGAGGTCTGCACTTTTGTAGTGATGAAAGTACAAAAAAAGCATGCGTTTGTACCGTAATATCTCATTCGTTTGAATCTGAAAGCAACAGGAAGACGCTTTTGATTGGAGCAGTGTCTGGACAGAAAGCTGTCCGCTACCCGTTGTGATGCTGAGGCCCCAAAAGAAATCTACTCATGGGCTGTGATTGGTCGTCGCTGGGTTGAAACCAATTGCGGCCTCCACGTGGGGCTAAGAGGTCCTCCTCCGTGTTTGGAAGGATTTTGGTGTGATGGTGCAAGAAGGTTGTGGCGTTCCCCAGCTTCTCCTCCAACGGCTACAGACCCTCACTGACAGGCAGGCAGGCAGGCCGAAGAATAAAGAAGTGATATATGTATATATATATATATATTATTTTATTATAGAGCGAAGAAAGCAAGTTTAACTGTGTGTGTGTGTGTGTGTGTGTGTGTGTGTGTGTGTGTGTGTGTGTGTGTGTGTGTGTGTCTCAAACCAACCATCCCGTGTCTGTTTGCATGTGCACACATGAACGGTCATCGGTTTGTGTGAACATGTGTGCGCATCCCCCTCACTCCACGTGACGTTGGCGGGACGGCGGAGCACGTTGCCATCGGTAACAACTTCCAGCGGGGCAGGGAGGATTGCTGCTGTTTGTTCTGTCTGACGCAGCGTTCCTCAAACTATACACATTTCTGGTGTTGGTGTCTGGTCCCCCTGCCCGCCCCAACATTATGGGTACATAAGGGTACAGTCTGATGTGCCTGCACCGCAAGAGGCAGAACAATGTATTTTGGTTTTACATTTTTTGGTCCCCAATTAAAGGAGGGTCCAAGAAGCTCTGCTGTATGCCATGAGCCTGGTGATGATGTGAGTTTGCAGCATGCTACAGCATGCCAAGCTCTCTCTATAGTTTTACTCTCTTCTTTCTTTCTGTCTTTCTTTCTTTTTCTCTCTTTTTCTTGCTTTATGTTTCTGGGAATAACTGTTTTGTTTTTGAGTTATGTGGCGAAAACAATGAAAAGTGTTTGAAAAAAAAAAGTGACTCCCGTGTATTTTTTTTGCAAATCTGTTTCTCTTTTCATCGTGTTGCTGTGTTGTGTCTTCACAGTTTGTGTTCGCGTGTGTGTGTATTTGTGTATTAGGCAACATCCCTGATGCACAGGAGGAGTGGCACGGGAGGGAGGGGTGCAGTTACTATAGCAACCCCTAAGTGGATTTTCCTCCGTCAGCGACGGGGCGTGGCCCGTTGTCGGGGGGCGGGGTTTCCTCTCGAGAAGTTCTTATTCTCAATGAACGTACGTGAGGATAAAGCACAGGCGAAAGTAACGCGCAAAGGCACATGAGCTGAAAACAAGGGGCTTGATTGATCAACTGTAAACTCCATATCTCCATCATCTGGTACGAGGCAGAGTCGGGTGTTAAGGTGGATGCATCACCTCAACCAAGCGTCCTGCTGCATCAGGTATCAACGTGGACATCTGCTGCCATCATGTGGTGCTGGATCTAAACTACAGAATAACAGCACCCAGGGTCCCTGAGGAGTGAAATGTGAAGCTACCATTGAGCTAATATGGATCGTTGCTCCTTTCGCCCATGAAACAATGCCTTTGAGTCTATAAGGGGCTTTAGTGAATCACTAGCCGGAAGTAGAAGGAAAGACACCTCTATAACCTCCGTCCTCGAAACTATATTTATATAAACGTATATTATATTCCTCGCTCTGACTGCTCAACTTATTTATAACTGCTAATAATACTAGTTCCCAAATATTGTGTATGTATATGTTTGTAGTTATACGATAAACATCATCGTACTTTCTAATAAGATTGTCTTTTTAAACTGATTTGTTGTATATAATATTATAATATTGTGTTATTGTTTAATTAGTGTGTAATTCGCAAGTAATTTTGCTGTCATATCTGAACATGCTGGCTTCCCTATGCATTTTAAAAAGTAACAAGTAAAAGGAATAACGGAAACTTGCATTGAGTTGTGTACCATAACTTTAACACAGACTTTCACACTAAATATGTGACATCGCGTTATTTGAGCCTGCAGGCTCATCTGGTGCATTAAAGCTCCAGAAATGAAGCTGAGATATGCATGAGCGCATAACAGAAAGATGTGATATTAGCGAGGCGGCAGAAATCCCCCTGAGCCAATCACGAGAGGCCTCGCGTGGCAGACGGGAGGTGCAGCCAATCAGAGAAGACGTTTCTTCACAATGGGCTGGTCTTGCTGCTGGTTTGATGTTATACACAGCTGTTTTTTTTTGCTCTATGTGGAGACTTGTGGCAGAATACGGGGAGCACAGAGGTGCATGTTGTAGTAAATCCATTCACGGACCCCGAACAGTGTCGAATGGACGTTTTATTTCCTCCACAGCGGCGCTAGTTAACGTAATGTCTCGGAAATGTTACACCTTTATTTTCCAACGGCAGCAGCAGTAGTAGTCTCAAGCCCCACTAGTTTACTTTTTGAACTTAAACATAGCCTTTTCTCGCTAGCGGTTGGGGCTTTGTCGAGCGGCTGCGGGCGTCTGTTCCTCTCACACATTCCCAGAAAACCATGAGGACGGAGGAGCAACGCTGCAGGGAGGTGCGTTTGTGCCGTGCGGGACAGCTGAGCGGGGCGGCTCCGGTCACCAAGTCCCTCCACGAGAGTCTCCTTGAGTGGGGCGGTGTGTTTTGATCCGCTCTGCCATCCTGCCAAAATTATCGTGGGGGGTGCAGCGGTCCGACCGGCGGGGAGGGACTCCTGGCGGCCGGGGGCAGCGAGTTGAACACGAAGACAGGCCACTGTGGATTCCTATTTGGCTGAGATTATGGTTTGGGAAAGGCCCGCTGCTTCTCCAACAAAAGCAATCCGCGTGGCCTCTCGGCGGCAACAGCAGCGCGTGGGAAGAAACGCGTCCGCGGCTCGTTGGTGAGAGTTAGCTCTCCACTTGGCCAACTCGAGAGTGGCGCTCCCGGCGCGCCTGCGCAATTACGCACGCACCCCTTTGTTGTGAAGTTTGCTCTCAGCCGAAAGTCTGCCGTTCGACGTTGTCCAAACCGTCGGCCCGACCTCCGTTGCGAGTGGATGCGCGAGGATGGTGGAGAGCCGCAGCAGCGTCCAGAGGGAGGGGGTGTACCGCTGGTTCTCCTCCCTCACCTCCGGCCAGAGAGCCGAGTTCCTGTGCGGCCTCCTGGACCTCTGCGTCCCCGTCGAGCTCCGCTTCCTCGGCTCCTGCCTGGAGGACTTGGCCCGCAAGGACTACCACTCTCTCCGGGACGCGGAGATCAAAGCCAACAACCCCGCCGACCTGTCGGGTCTCACCAACATCACGGACGAGGTGGTGCGCAGCAAGCTGCTGGTGTCCCTCGCGCTGCTCGGCACGGACAACAGGGAGGCGGCGGGGGTCCTGTACCGGACCCTGACTCACATAGACACGGTGATCAATAACTACGGGCTGGCGCTGAACGACGGGAGGACCGAGGAGCAGTTTCTGTTGCTCTTCACCATGGCGTCCCACCACCCGGCCTTCAGCTTCCACCAGAAGCAGGTGCTGAGGCAGCAGCTCGGCTTGATCCAGGACGTCCTGCAGGTGAGAGGGATGCTCGTGTAGAACCTCTCAAGTGCGCAAGGTCATCAGGGTCAAAGATAAAACCCTATTCAGTCACTTTGGTATTTATAGTAGTAGAATGAAGTGTAGACAATTCGTGGATGCTTCAAAACGTAACGTAACATAACATAAGGAGTTTGTCTTAGTGGTTACAAAGTTTGTTTCTTTGGATTAAGTTCAACTTTCTCAACGATCATGTGATTATGTTAGCTCGGACCCACAGAGCTGTCCCTCGGAGATGCATTTTGAATTGTATTCATTGTACCAGTCACTGCCCACACGTTCCTTTACGTCAGCAGACTTCAAAAGCCTCCAAACTGAAAAAGAAAATGTCCCCTTGGACTCACGTACCATCTCCAAAACTGTCCCAGTGAAGTTATAAACAAAAAACAGCCCATGAAAGCGTGCTCATGAAGCTGGCGAGATGACGGCACCATGAATCCTCAGGTCTCTGATAAGGTGCTCGCTCGGATTATGTGTTTTAGAAACAATGTTTTGAACTTTCATTGCATCCAGACCGCATTAACGGGTTGAATACCCTTCCCCATCATTTTTTTTGTGCATTTCCTACAATTCTATATTTATATTTGAAAATCCGCACATTTAGAACATAGTTTCAAGGACTACATTGACCATTTGAATTCACATCTAAAGGAATAGTGTCATCCCCCCCCACCCCCCCACTTTGTTTTGGTGAGTTCAGCATGTCTGTCTCTCCGTGCTGCCTGCATTGTAACCGCATGTCATTTTATCAGAAGAACGACGACTGACCTTCATGATCTATCATTTAATATTCTCCTTTTACGAGGCTACTTCTTTTATTTGCTTACACAAAAAAAGCGCTGCTGGTCCAGTTTTCTCCGCTTTTTCGCTAACCTCAAATCCTCCATTACTCCAACAAGTTAACTAACGTTGCTTTCTTTGCTCTCAACTGACTGACGAAAAAGTCGTAGGTAACCATGACAACGCAGAAGGAGGTGCAAGTGTACAATTAGGAGGGGGGGATTCACACACTTTTATTTGTTTCTTAACAAACGGAAATAAATTAGATACATTTAATAAGACATAACAAGAGGCCGATCCATTGACAGGGTTCATAAAAGCAGAATATCTATTTTACATATGTTCTGCTGTATATTGGGGGGGGGGCAGATTGATATTTTCTCAATATTGGGGGGGACACGACCCCCCCAAAGAATGCGTGGTTACGCCCCTTGGAACACGTTGGTGTCTGCGGCTGTCGCTGGACTCTCACACTCTGCTTCTGCACTCGTTCCTCTTCACCGGAGTCTTCCTCAGGCTTTACAGCTGTGGGTGCTAACAATAGCCATGTTGGTAGTTTGTGTTCATTGGGATCATTTTGGAGGAGTGTCTTTGGACGCTGTTGGCATCTCGGCGACTCTCTTGCAAGATTAGCAACTTTTGCAGATGGTGCTGCTGGCTGCTTTTATTTGAAGAGAGTTGACAACACTGGGCCGGGTTTTTCGGTTGGATCCAATTTTGAAAAGCAGGGTACTCTGGCGGGTCTCTCCAATGCCTCCTACCCGCGTAAGCGTAAGGGGGCAATCTGTGAAATCCATGCTGCTGTCACCTGCTAATTCAGCTGCATTTCCCCACATTAACAACTGGAGGGTGTTAAAATGAGATGACACGTTTTCCTCTGGCTGTGTGTCACGTTTGCATCTTACTGTTGATTTTGCAGGTAAGCAAAGGAGGAGGAGGAGGAGGAGCGGATCAATCCGCGGCCCATCCCTCTCAGCCACATCACCACTATCACCATCACACCGTGTCCCTGCCGCTGGCCTCGTTGTCCCCCGCTGCCTGCTCCCAAGCCTGCCACACACAGTGCACCTGCTGGCGCAAGGTAGGGGGCAACGGCACCAGCGTCAAGTGTGGCCAGAAATGTAGCGGCGTCTCGCGGCGACCTCATGTCTTTGCCTATTTTGTCGCGAAACGGTCATTTATGAAAAAAGGGTAAGGAAAAGCAGTGTAGTACTATGGCTGATCAACGCAGTCACGTGAGTAGTTTCATCTGCGTTCTGGTATTCATTCAAACAGAAAGCCACACCATCTGTCACCGGCTGCCGATCTGTGGAGCTGCGTGTTTACGTCGTGCCGCACGGCAACAGCCAGGCATCAATTGGATTTCCTGCAGAAGAATATTTCCCTCTTTTTAAAAAAATACTTCACCCTCTGTAATGACCGCGTGTATATCAACTTCTTTGCTCGGTTTTACCTTGAAAGATAGTTTTACTCCTGCTCGTGTGTATGTGTGTGTGTGTGTCACTTCAAGGATTGGAAGATATTTTAGTAGAACTCCATGGGTTTGGATGTCAGGGAGCATAATTACACTTAATATACCACACCCTCTATTTCTATTCCAACTATTTGGCTATTGTTTTTCGGCTGTGGATCAGGGACAGTCATCTGGGTCGAACAGTCTGCATATGTGTTTGCGGGTTATGTGCACAACAAGATTTGACGGGTTTATTATAGATGATTAGGAGCTAATTAATGTCCTTGACTGGGAGCTGCGTCTGCAAGGCCCCGTCTGGTCCATTGGATTTATTCCTCTTTATTACAGATAAAAGGGTGACGTCTTGTTTGCTCGGTGTTGCCAGTGTAGAGCTAACACACACCACGTGTGTTGGGTTGCATGCTTTTTATTCCCCGGCTCCAGAGTGAACAGCTGTTCCATCATAACAGTTAGAAAAACAAGATATGCAGAGTTACCACAATATATGTGGTCAAGATAGGACTACTTAACCTGCTGGGATAAATGATTCCTAGGGGTCTACTAACAATACAAGTCCAAATATTTATAATAAAGGCAAACAAAATGAAAGATGGAGATTAGGGCCGGGGGGGATTTCCCAATGATGTGGCTCATCAAACCTCTGTTACCATCACGTCTGGGATAAACTTGCCCAAAGCAGACGGCGCTTCAGACAATGAATCGTGGGAGAGTTAGAGACTCATCTCCATCTCCTCCATCGCTGTGAGAGACGATTAAAAAGCAACGTCTCGTTCGCCTCTTCATTCACACAGACGTGGAGGAGCACTGGGAAGCTGCCAGCAACACTGTTTAAACGCGTGGGAGCAGCGACGGGAAAGTACCCGGCTACGAGCGGAGCGTTTGCATTTAGTGTTTTGTTTCCCTTGGCTTCTGCTTAGTGCAGGTCAGCACATTTCTCCATGTTGAAATCAACCCTCTGTGGTGTGTGTGTGTGTGTGTGTGTGTGTCTCCAATGATTCCCCAGGAGTTATAAATGCGCTCACTCTCTCGCGCGCTGTGTGGTGTAACTCTCTCTCTCTCTCTTTCTGTAGCCTCTTCTTTCCCTCCCTTCCTTCTGGGCTCTGAAGGCTTTTCACAGGAGGTTCCTTTGTAAACTTGAGGCAGTTACATATGTCATCTACAGCTTTCTTTTAGTCGGGTCTACTGTCACCTCCTGCAGATACATGTACTTTATATGCATATATCATACTTGCTATTACTGCCAACAACAACTTTAATGTTTACGCATAATGTGCACGGGTTCACTCATAGCATCTTTTTGCTTTCACAACGTCACTGTGTTGGCTCACTGTCACGCCGCTCATCAGCGTCATCTTCAAGTGGAAAGAAGCTCGGATAAACCCACTGCCCGGCGCTGAATGACACACAGACTGAGTCAGCGACTAGCTGAGGAAGTATTTAACAGCCAATCAGTCAGATATTTGAGTACCGGACTGTTTTGAGTGTTCAGCATTAAGGAAATAATTGTGGCTGCAGATGAATGGGATGGTTTTCCTGTGTCTGAATGAGTAGGCAGTTATTACAACCTACTCATGAGACTTGTTCCGCTGCCCTCCGAGTGGGCAACTCATCAGTGAACCTAACTTTGAGTAAACTCACTCTTTGACTGCAGGAAAGTTAATAGTTTGGATGTGAAGTTCGCCAAAGTGAACTGAACCATCATCATCTTTGGCCAAGCGGCCAACAAGTGGAAAGTATGTTGGATGCAAAGCAGACCGTGCGTAGTGGAACTAACACAATGCCAATTTAAGTTCCGCTTGCATGGAATTGAGCTTTAACAGAAAAATGATTAATTGTTGGAATGCATTAGGCTATGACTTTTCAGCTTTCTAACTCTTAAGCTTGAATTTATATAAATCAATAATCATTAATATTTTAACATGGTTTTCCAATGGAGATCGTTTTTCAAATCCTCTTAAACTTCAACTTTCAGATTCTTCAGCTTCGCCAATCTTTCAGCTACAGACACCATTTAAACTTTCAAATGTTGACACAAGTCTCAACTATTTTATGAAAAAAAACTGCTTGTTGATATCTATTCTTTTCATAATCACTGATTATGTTTCACTAGTTCTTTGCTCCGTTGCATTTCTTAGAGTGAGCCCTGAAGGGGCTAGAGTGTGGGGCAGCGTCAGAATCTGGTTAAAAAAATATGGAACTTCGGTCCTCAGAGCCTAAGTATACACTTTTGAGGCTTCATTTTTAGCGTGATGGCATGGTTGTGCTGCTTGTAGTCATGTGGCTATGGAATCCCAGAGTTCTTTAGTTTTGGCCTACGGAGACCAACAGTCACACAACCTCTGCTAAAAGCCCCTTAGGCTCCAATACAAATCTGCCGACATATTTCTCAAAAAATCCAGAAGGTACACATTTTGTAAACTGCGACAGGAGCCGTATTTATTACCGGACAGACATAAAAATCACATCATGCGTTCGGTAGAGTCTTGGGTCTCGCACAAGCGTCTCATTTTTTAGATAGCTGTTATAGTTTTGCGCTGGTGGACACTTGTTTGAGGTGTGGATTCTGTGTAACTCGCTGTCCTGTGTCTGCCCTTTGCAGCAGCTCGTTAATGAACCCAGGTGCGCCGTTGCCGTGGTTACTTGCACACACGCTGCAGTATCTCTGTCTGTGACTCACAGCTGCTCCTATGACCTGATTAGTGGAGTCACATGACGCAGCTATGCTTTCTGTCAACAGACTAATACTACTACTAATATTACTACAAACAATTTAAAACCTCTTTTATTCATCTTAGGTTTTGTTATTTCTGTATTTTTTTAATTCATTTAAGCTCCTGCAACTTCTGTATTTTTTTGAAATTCTATTGAAATTTTGCTTCACATTTCTGTATTTTCAGCAGTTAAGCAAATCATTTCAGCTTTTCTTATGCCTGTATTAACAGCAATGTTTTAATATTCATTTCTGTATTTTTTTGCAATTTCTCAAATTTGTTTCAGCTGTTTTCAGCAAATCTATTGAAATTCATTTCAGCTTCTCCCATTTCTGTATTTTCAGCAATTTCAAATTAATTTCAGCTTTTCTAATATCTGTAATTTAAGCAAATGTATTAAAATTCCCTTCAACTTTCAGTATTTTCAGCAATTTTCTGAAGTTCATTTCAGCTTTCAGCTTTTTGCATTCCAACGCATTTTCAGCAGGAAATGCATTTTCTAGTTTATTATTATACTCCTCCTGGAATAACCAAATCGTTTGCATTTCTTTTGTGATGGATCTAGTTTAGGGTTCTATCGAGTTATTGTTTTACAACTCATTGGGTTTTCTATATTGGGCAGCAGCTGTAAGATAAAACACAGCAGAGTGTTATATTTCCTCCCAACTGTAGTTAAGTGAATGTTTAAAGTAGCACCAAACATAAATACTCAGTCGAGTGCATTTAAGGAAACCTCTTCACTCTTCACATCTGTCGGGCCTGCACAAACCTGCATAATCACTCTATTGTACCACTGCTTTATATACCCATAAAAACGGTGTCGGAATGAACAAAAGTTCAGCTAACTGTTGTAGGAGGAGCAGGAGGAGGAATCAGCACAGTCAGTCTTTAATAGTTTTCAGTTGTTTTGAAGAAAAAAAACTTCCAGCTCTCGGGGAGATTCCCATGCTCTCCCGGTTATCTGGCACGGGAGGTCAGTTTCCCTCCCTCGCTCACCGACAGCGAGCAGAGGGCCCGGGGGGCCGGCAGGTCGGGGGAGCAGCACGCCAATGGGGGAGTAGCACCCTTAATTGTTTTCAGATTTACCCTGCGCGTGTGTTCGGTTGCAGCAGGCGATGCCACATGTTGAGTTCTCCCCTCACAAAGACGAAAGAGACGCCCACTCGTGACTCCAAGGAAGTCTTTTTATTTTCTGTCACCTGAGTCAGCGCTTCCTAGGGGAACAATTACACGGAACAGACTCGATCAGAGAGACGGCCGGATGCAAAGATGGTTTCAAACGTGTGTGTAGTAATTGAACGGCACAGATGGCCATCACCAAATTTGTTTAATTCAATCTGATAAAGATAATTGAGACCAGAGCTAAACGTTTCTTAAATGGGTGTGGGGCTTTTCAAAATAAAATAAAGATTATGGCTCTTGAAGGCAAACTGCACGGTAGACACAGATCATTAATACCAAATGTTTTGAGAAATCTAAATATGGTGGTTGATCAGGTGGTTTTTCTTCAGCAAGTGATCTGAAATTCAATCTGTATATATTTGGATATAAATATACATAAACACATGGTTCTGTATTAGTGCATGGCAGGTATTTTCCTTATCAATCAGCAAGTCAAAAGCACCTCCTCTTCATGCTCTGTTTCTGACGTGTCGTTGAGCAAAGCGCATCCATACCAGTTTAAGTCTGAGCATCAGTTGGTCCAACATACAAAAAAGGGGGCTCCAAGTCTGTGTTTCTCCCTAAAAGTGCTCCAGGATGACGTTGCTATAAATAAGAGCGCCCCTTGGTGAAGTATTGGTTTGTCTCAGCGCTGTGCCACCCCCGGAGAGCGCGTTGCTCCACTTTGTTTCAAGCTGTGACAACACGCAGAATCGTGCTTTCGATGAGCAAAAACGTGCGTGCTCGAGGACAGCGTTGTGTTCGATCCACACACGAGCCGAAGGAGTTAACGCCGCGCTGCGCCGCGTCTGCTTGACCTCCGCCCTGTGGTTGCAACCTCTCTTTAACCGAGTGGCCTCTCATCCCCTGCTCCCCAGAGCCAGACCAGAGAGGCCGGCACAGCCTCAGGGGAGACCACGGGACGACGAGGCCGAGCAGTCAGCCAGGACCTCCCCGCCCCTCCCCTTCTTCCACCAGCACCACCTCCTCCTCCTCCTCCTCTTCCTGCTGGACACGTCCAGGGCGCTGCAGCACCGGCCAAGAACCGCACCAAAAGTACTTTCTACTTTTTCCTCCATCTAATTGTCTCTGTGTCTGACTTGCTGTGTCCGTGTGCATGCGTATGAGCTCACTTCCAGCCTCCGTCTGTGCGCGCTGACATAAAGCGCACGTAGAAAGTTATACAACCAGCTCGGCCCAAGTGAGCAAGATCTGGCACGCTGAGACATGAAACACTAAAAGTAAAAGAATGCTGCCCTGAGGCTAAGGTGTGTGTGTGTGTGTGTGTGTGTGTGTGTGTGTGCGTGCGCGTGTGGTCATCACCGTCTCTATCCCCAATTCCTTTTGATTCAAGCGCTACATCAACCTATTAACCTGTTACAATCTACATCCCTACATGTAACTGATAATAATTAAACACATTTTTTCCCTCCTTTCTTTCATTTAGTTTCAATGTTTTTCCATGTCTGCACAAGCAGCAGACGTGGAGCAACATCAGCTTTGCTTCGGAGGCGTGTTTCAGTTTGTGGTCCAAACAGAAGAACAGGTCTCAAACCACCTGTTGATCTTCAGCTGCTGACGCCGAACAGCAGGCTCGAAGCAGGTCCATCAGTTTACAGCTTACAAAAGCGGCGTTGGTAACGAGTGTCACTGTCCAGTGAACACTGTTAGCCCGTCAGAACTTTTCCATAGTCGACACTGTTTGTGCCCTTAGCCGGGCGCCAGCGGCTCAGCCATGTTGAGAGCTGACCGGCCGACAGCAGACTGAACTGGAAGACCGACGTCACCGCTGGCTTGGAAAATGGGGGCGAGCTGTGAATTTTTTGAGGGAGCTTGGATCCATCAACCTCGTGCAGCAGGACGTTGGGAGACGTTCCGGTGTGTTTTGTGTCCTTCTCCGTATGGTGGTGGAGCAGCATCGAGGCCGCAGACTTAACTGACTGGTTAAGAAGGCCGGCTCCACCATCGGCTTCCAACTGGACAGTCCGGAGAGACACTGAACCAATTAACATCCATAATGGATGACCCGGACAGGCCTGTCCACCACTGCAGGGACAACGGAACACCTTTATGAATAGATTTATGTATATATATACAGTACCAGTCAAAAGTAATAAATGCTGCTGTAGTGAAAAGAAATCTTCTAAGTCACCGTCCCGTCAAAGTGAGCTGTCGGCCTTTGCGGGACCACTTGATAAGCCCGGCTATTTTCCATTATCGTTCATTTGAAGCCCAGCGGTCAGGAGGGGGACACCATGTGGTTTTCAGTCGAGTCTCTCCAGTCTGCTGTTGTCTTGGCGCCCTGCCTCCTTTCTGTAACACAATACTTAACTACCTCACGTCCTCATGGTCGCACACCATCACATAGCTGTCACCAGCACAAATCACTTACACACACACACACTCAGTAAACGGTTAAGTTTGTATGACTTACCATTTTCCCTGTGTGTGTTTTGGCCACCTTGGACCAGGCAGAAAGAGCCACGCCTCGTGTTTACGACGTGTTTCTCTGGCACACACACACACACACATGACCGTAGTTGTAAAGTTAATAACGATACATGGCAACATGAGGGTCAATGTTATCTTCGCAGGAGATGATGGAACTTTCTTTTGATGACTTGATGCACACACACACACACACACACACACACACACACACACACACACACACACACACATTACTGTTGGGCAGCAGCTGTGGTAGGCTCTAAATGCCGCCTGCCATTCACGCTAATCTAGGCTGCCACACACATGCACACACACTTTATGAAGTGCAGGAGTGTACGCGCGTGTGCACGTGCGCGTTTTCGTCTCCTCCTTCCCTGTAGTGTGAGATTTAGTACTTTTCTTCGGCACTTCTCGCTTTGCTCCCATGCTGGTTCTGCTGCACTGTGGGTGCGACACCAACTGTGTGTCTCGTGCAAACCCACTTCAGGGAACTCTGCTTTAGACATGTGTCGACAAATTTGCAGCCCTAAATGAACTGTAAACGAGTGATGACGAGTATGGACCATCGTGTACTTTGATAGGAGTTAGGAGACTTAAACCCACGCATTTCACATTGTCATCATAAATCGATTGAAACGCGATGGGGTTTTGTTCCCTGGTCATTTGTTACTCGTCAGCTGCCCAGGTTTAAATCCCTTCTGGCCGCCTAATCAACTCTAAATGGCCGAAACGATCTGTGCCTCTTTCAGCGCTGATCGAGAGGGTGGAGCTGAGAGGAGTGAGCCACGCGTCCCGAGACGCCACCGAATACGTGCTGGAGGTGGGTCCGCTCTCAACGCAGGCGCCCCCTCGCTTTCCCCCGAATGCCTTCACTTCATCTTTTCACGTCGCTGCCCTTTTGCTTTTCACCCGGTTTTTACTTCCTCCTTTACTCCATCACCTCCACCTCTCCCCCCCACCTCGTCCTTTCCTCTCTTCGTCCTCTCTCCTCCAGGCCAGCTGGTCCGACGGTTACGTGTCATCCGTGGTTCGGACTCGGCAGGAGGTGGCGGCGCTGCTCACCCAGGTCAGTACTGCCACTGAAGTGCAGTCTGATGATGATAATCTCAGGCCTCATGAATCTCTTTGTGCCTCTAAGCTGTCTGAAGCATTTCCTGATGACGCAGTGGAGGAAGTCTTCCCTGAGTCCACGGAGCTGAACCCCAGGTTAGTCCCTTGTTCCTCCAACCCTCTCTTCCCATTTTTAAAGTGTGTTATTTCATCAGGGAGAGTTGTATTCCAGTCAACAGTTTGCTATGTAAAGCATTTGCAAAGTTTTTGAGTTATTGAATGTTTGGAACCCTGGCCGGTGTACATCTATGTTAGTTTGCTGCCAAGTTATTGGCGCTACATCACGTTGCAAGAAAGAAAAGGTGATTCTCACAGACGGAGAGAACTTAAGAGAGCCGAACTCTTCCAGTCACCTGCTTCTGCTGACAGATCAACTTTACTAAGAATAACAGCTGGAAATGGGTTTAATAGTTACCATACCAGTGCCAACAACGTCAGGCACGGTTTGTAGCTTTCTCGTTAAATCAAAGAACTCCTGTCCTAATACTCAAATTTCTCTAGATCTGTGCACCTCTTTTGTGCATTTCCGCGCCTCCTTATCCTCCTAATTCAGGTATCCTCCCCCGAACGTGTGTGACAGGGTGTCCATTTACTTCTTCCAGCACCACAGTGTCCAGTTGTTCTAACACTATGCCAGAGCATTTTTCCCCCATTGTCTGGCTTCCCCGTGCTCCCCCGCCTAGGGCTCAGAACACCGAGACCCAGTCGGTTCACCCCCAGCTCCAGTGAGTCGTGTTTTATTGCCAAAAATATCTCTCTCCTTCAATATTTGGACCTTTCCTCTTTCTTTTTTTTAGGAAGCGAAATAGATGACATGCAACGGATAACTTGAGAAAGGTTTAATCCTGAAAATGTCATGAATGCGTGGCTGCGAATGTGCCCTTAAAGCCAGTAAGTCTCCAAAGAGGGCAGCAGGGATGTTAAGCAGGGGATCCCTATTCTTAGACACAGAGACAGAAGGTGCCGGAAGGGACATGAAGGACTTCATGTTTGGGTCCCTGTGTTGTAGGAGAGCGAGAGGGGCGTGAAAAGGGGAGGAAAGGAAAGAACAAAGCGGGGGAGTGGGGCGGGAGGGGGGGGGGGGGGGGTTGTAGGCGTCTTGCTGGGTAGCAGCGTAGAGGCGAGAGAGGTGAGACTGCAAGCAGGATTTTCCTTTAGTTATTTGGAGGTGTTGGAGGGGAGATGACGGACTCTATTTTAGTCCTGTGTGGGAATTCAGCGCGGCATGTTTGTGTTGGGAGGCCGGCCGTGTGGTGACCTAATGTTGATGTGAGCGCGATTATGTTTGATTCTATGAGAGTGACTTCATCCCAGAGAGTATTTATAGCCATCTGTGCAGTGTGGATGCTTGTACCTTTGCAGTATTGACAAAGCCTGCCGGCTTTTGATAATGCATATGCAATTAAAGCGTGGGTGCGGCACATGAATGTCAGGATCTAGGAATAGCTCAATTACCGATGCACTGCGTTTACACTATTATACATGGTAGGTGATTAAAAGATCAATTGGTTTTCTTTTATTCCGACCTTGTACGGTGTCAATCATGGCAGAAATAATAACTGATTATACCTTCTATTCGGACGTGACATATAGCAGATATTAAAAGTATTCCTTTACATCAAAAGGCCAACAGGCGCAAAGATCAAAACCAACATGTCTGGCTGTTTTACTGAATACTAGCCAATACTACGTTATTTCACTCTGCGATGGTTAATGTTTAACTGTGTAACTAATTCAAATGTCCACAAGCATGCCGAACCGTGAGGGCTAAACCTGTGCTGATCACAGATACTAGTCATGATTCTCCAATTAAGTCACTGGGAACCGCATCGCCATCGACTGATGGTTTCTGTCACACCAGCGGCTTCTGGGTTTCACTCACGTGTTTTTATTTTACGGTGATGGGAGTTCATTTAGTTTTCTCTGTGTCCCTCAGATCTCGACTGTACGGTTCAGCACCGGGGAGCCAACAGGTGAGTTTTCCTTCTCTCTTTGTCTATCGGTCATTTATCATCATCACGACCATCATCCTCTTCATCACCTGCACCGTCCCCATGGCGTCCTCTGACTGTATGTCCTCTCTCAGGGCGGTCTACCCAGTGGCCAGCGTCCAGCCCGTCGTCAGCACCCACAGCTCTGTCTCGATCCGCCCCTCTCATCACCTCTCGTCCCTTCCTCTTCCTCCCCCCGTTCCGCCTGTCCAGCTGTCCCCCCTGACTCACCCTGTGATAGCACAGTGCTCCTTGGCTGGCGGATGCGACCCCCCCTCCATCCAGCCGTATCCCCAACACAGTCAGCCCCACTCATACTCCCTGCCCCACCTTCATCCGCAAACCGGCGGTCAGGCCCACGCTGCCCATTCCCAGCCGGCGTCCCACTCACACTGCCAGTCCCTCTCGTACCCCCAGTCCCATTCCCTGTCTCGTTCCCAGTCCCACTCACAGGCAGCGTGCCCGTCCCAGCCCAATGCTGCCGAGCAGAACGGCATCCTGGACTGGCTGCGCAGACTTCGGCTCCACAAGTATTACCCCGTCTTCAAGCAGCTCACCATGGAGGAGGTGGGTGGGCTCTAGATGCTGGCTTGTCATTTCTTTATTCACTGTATCAATCGCTCTCACATAGATCGGTATTTCAAGCCGCAGGAACCGGCATGTCCGCTTTTCTTAAACCTGTGTGTGTGTGTGTTTTTGTCCCGTTGTCTCCTTCAGTTCTTGGCGCTGACGGAGGAGGACCTGAACAAGTACGACCTGACCCAAGGAGCGAAGAAGAAACTCAGGACTCAGCTGGAGCTGCAGAAGACTCAACTTGAGCTACAAAAGTCAGTAGAGTGAGCTGCTGGTATTCTAGTGCACGCTATACTGTCAGACCCTTTCTGTTGGGGAGCCGAAACCATTGTCACTGCTCTCCTCAAACCAGTCCATTGACTAAATGTATCAGCAACTCTCCTGTCGTGTAAGGGGACACCACTGGTGGTGTGATTTCAACCAGTTTTTGCATCGCCAATCTTTGAGGCGATGCACGGGAAAGTTAGCAGCCGCTTTATCTGTGTAACTATTAACAGACGGACCAATCGGCCGCTGATTTCGAAGGCGAGCGCACAGCAGTAGCGGTCCATAAGGCGTCAATGGTTAACCAGCAGTAAGTGGGCCGGAGAGATTAGATATACTCAAGAGAAGATAACCAACAGAAACCCAAAGCCACAAAAACATTGACTGGGATGCAAATGCGTCCGCATGCCCCGACCCTCTCACACGGACACATCCGGCACACACCTGGGTTTTTCCCATGTGAACCTGCTTTAATCATCTCTTGAATCAACAGGTTTCCATTCTGTGTGTGTGTGTAAAGATGGAAAGGTGTTGCAGTGTTTTTTCCGTGCTCCAGGTTTGCGGATGTGTTTGCAGAGTAGCAGTTGAGATGCTGAGGAGAGCATGGAGTGGATAGTGTCTCCCCCTGGTGGTGATGACTGAAATCAAGCTGCTGTCATCCCTTTGACATAAAACTGAGAGGCTTTAGGTTACCTACATGAACCTGTCCCAGTCTAAAAGAAATGCTCCATCCATCACATGAATACCCCTTTAAAAACCTCTCATCTCATTTATGATGACAATCGGCTTCTGAGTAGAAACAGGATCCATCATACCTCTCTGCCTGTGTGCGTTCCTCCTACAGGGAGATGCACATGGAGAAGCGGCCCTGCAGCGGCATCGCCAGGGTGACGCCCTCCAGTCACGTGGGTTCCTCGACACATGGCACCTCCACAGCAGGTGAAGCAGCCGGTTGGCTTTATTCACACAAGCTCACAATGTTCCAAAAAAGAGCTGATTGATTGAAAGCGCCCTGTGCACATAAAAACAAGGAGGAGGTTGAAACATCCTGAAATGTGACTGTATTGTTTCAGTAGAGCCGCGGGTGGAGGCGGACGCCATGTCTCAGCATCACCCCGTCTCAGCAGACAGCAGCTCGTCTTCGGGCTTCTCCAGCTCTCCGTGCTCCGCCCGGGGGCCCCTCTGCTGGGACTCCACCTTCGACAGGACCAGAGACATTCACAGGCGTAAGTTTTTTAATTATCATAGAGGAAACAACAACAACTGGAATGCTTGATAGATTTGAGGCAACTAAGCGGGATTTCCCCCTTCTGTTGAATAAGAGGGGGAATATTAGACTCCCCTGAACTGAAATCAAACGTACCACTGTGTACCTGGTTCCAGGTGTGTCAGGTCTGGACCCAGCAGGGGGGGGTCCAGAGAAGGACCGGTCCTGCCTATTCGTCCTGAACTCCAGCTGCCCCGCAGGCTCCAGTCGCCCCACGGCCCAGGTCCTGCCCGTGCAAACCGACCCGGCTCCTCTTCACCCTCCCTCCTGCTCCTCCCGCCTCCCCCTCGGCCTCCAGCAGCCCCCTTACCACCCGCAGGCCGGTTACCCCCAGACTCTGCTCTCCCCGGTCTCGAACCCGGCACGTATCCTGAGTTCCCCCCGTAAGCCCCGGCCCCTTCCGTTCTGCTCGGAGGACAGGACTCAGGCGCCGGGCTCGGGCCCGCCTGCAGGCGGTGCCGGCTTCCTGTCGGGGCTCGGTGGGGGGGTGGGGGTGAGGCTGGAGAACCTGTTCCCTGGGCTGAACGTGGACGGCTCCCCGGCGCCACAGGACACGCTGGTTTGCCGCGGCCTGGCTGGAGGTGCCGTGGGTCTGATGGTGGAAACCAGTTCTGCTTTAACCTCCACCTCCAACAGCCTGCACCACGTCTCTCACCCCCCGCTGCAGTTCCACCTCTCGTCCTCCTCCCCCCTTTCTCCATCAGGATACTACTCCTGCTCACCTGCGTCTTTCTCCTCGTCCTGTCCCGCCACAAAATCCGCTGGCTCCGGCAGTAGTGGCGCTGGCGGCGGCTTTGTTCCCATGGCAACCGCAAGCAGCGTTCCCGTGGCCGCGGTGCCAGGCAACACATATTTCCCGGCCTGTCCTCTCTCCAGTCCCCCCGCTTCGCCATGCACTGGCTCGCCTCTAGATCAGAGCTCAGGCCACACCCCCTCCACGTGTGTTTGCAGTTCCTGCGGTTGTCGGGGTAACTGTGGTGCCTACGGGGCGTTGCCTGGGTACGCGGCGGCCGGCTACCTGCAGCCGTTCTCGGCCGGCCCCTCGCTCTTCACCCTGGGTCCTCTGCTCCACCTCAGTCCCCTGATCGCCTCGTCCAGCGGCGCCGGGAGCGCCGCGCCGCCCTTCTCCTACCCAATGATGGTGCCTCCGCCCCTTTACCGCCACAGCCCCGTGTCACACGACCAGCAGCAGAGCTTCGCCTTCTACCAGCCTCACGGCATCATGGGAAATATTGGCCAGAAACGGGCCCCGGGTAGTAGCGTGTCATGTTACAACTGCGGCGGCCACGGACACCGAGCCGAGGAGTGCAAGCAGCCGGCGATGGACTCGGCACAGCAAGGTGAGCGCACGGACAAATCCACCAAAGCGCCACGACATGGCGGCTACTTACATTCTCACTTGTATAATTGGAAAACAAAGAAAGTGTTAATCTTAGTGAGAATCTTTCGGGGTAATAACATACTATCAAAAAATGACACTACTATTCAGACTGCAACCGTTTGTCTGAAGGTGAAAGTTCTCATTAATATAATTATTTCATTAGGCACAATGGTGATTTTAAACTTGTAATCTGAGGCACAGAATTCGAAACAATGGATCATCAACATCTTATTTCTACAAGTGATGGCAACCAATAATTGATCCACTTTTTTGATTTTTCGAGCTGCAACCACTACTCAATTACTTGTGGGAAATAGCGATTGAAATGTATTACTATTTTCTGAAAAAAAACTACAAACTGATGAATACATAAAATAATTGACAGATTAACAAATTAGTCCCAGTCCTCCTGTTCTTTATCAAGCGGAGACGTTGCCAAAGCTTCAACACTCCAGCGTCTCTCTGTTGTCTTCCACAGGGTCCTTTCGACTCAAGTACACTCCTCAATCGGACAGCAAGGACTTGGGGGACTAACCAGCGGAGACACCAGCGGATTTGAGCCGTCGTACTCTCGACTGTGCCTCATGTTCCTGGAGAATAGAAGACACGGCCTCTGGGGACAAGGATCTGAAGGCGCGGACCCGTCAGTGTTTTAGCAGCTCACGTATTTTTTGGTTTTGTCTTTTCCGCTTTCGACCTTCTTCTGTTCTGCACGCGGTTTTCATAAGCTCCGCCCTGTTTCACTCCAGAGACGTAGTGGAACTCCTCCTGTCATGGTACCCAGGGTGCAGCAGCACAACCGGAGAGTCTCGGAATCTGCCTTAATGATTCGGCATTGAGCGTCTTGCAGGTGGCTCATAAAGCAACCGCCTAGCAAACAACTACCGGGCGAGTTCATGTCCGCTTGCTACTTAATATTTAAGGTTTCGCCATTAGTATTTGGAACCTTTTAGTTGCTTTCTCATCCATTCTCTTTAAAGAGGGGTTCAAAAATTATAATAATAAAAACAGTCAGTTTAAGGTTAAATGTGGTACCTTATTTTTCACGGCTTTTTTTTTTTTTGTAAAACCTCTTGTACAAAGAGTTTTAAGCACAAAACCATTGGGAGCGCTCCAAAGATGTTTAAACTAACTCTTAAGGATCAGGTTAAACTGCGTGCCTTAAATCCCGCTTTGGATGTTTTCAGAAACATTATGCTGAACTATTCTTTGTAAACAAGACGCCATTTCGGTCTGTGTTAAGATGTGGTAGCGGACCGTGGAGCTTTGTCACTCCAACGTGTCATTGCCAGTAAAACGCTTGTTTCCTCCAACGCGGTTGATATCATACGGACTCGTAGAATTCCCAGAAGCATCTTCCATTGTTTCTCTCCCTCTATGTGGGATGGTTCCGATGTTATGGCTAAAATTCCTAATAGCGGATTCACAACGTGAATCGATTTTCACTTCCAGATCTCTACTGATGAGTTCAATGAAGTCATATTTTGATGAGCGGGTCAGTGGTAAAGAAGACGGACAGTGTAGCATCCATGATAGGGTACTTCTAGGTGGGTACACTCAATGCGTAATAGGGAGGAACACTTGATGTGAACGGAACTTTTTGTTGGATTACAAGAAAACTCGTCAGGGGACGTTTTGAAAGGAACCCGATTCACAGGGTCTAGCAGCACAGAGACCACAGCTGACGATGCATTCAGGTGCCTACACAAGATTTTGAACAAACAGAAAAAACTCGACGCCACTAAGGATTTCAGTACGAGTTCCATATGTTACAGGTACCAGGATCGGCACCCAGTAGGCAGATGATGATGATCCTGTGGACACAAATGACACACAGCTCATGCACGTCTGGTCATTGCGCCTCGCTCCGCAGAATGCCATTTATTTAACATATTCAAATTTAACTGCAAAACATATGGTAAATCTTAACAAAGTGGAAAATATCTCAGCACAGGAAATGTTCGCTAGTTATCTCATACTATATGCATACACGATATACATAAATACTATATATACATTGTTCACTGTAAACCAATACACTGTGTAAACACATTGGTGGGTGTCACACATACAACATATGATAGATACGTTTAAGAGTCTCGGCTCACGCTTGGAAACTGGACTCCCTTTCCAGCTGCTGAGGGATCAGCGGGATTCATCAGTTCATTCATTCGCGCCCGTGACGCCTGAATCCATCCCCTGTGGTTGATCTGCAGCCTCTCTGCCTCTGGGCCAACCGCACAGGGAAATGGCCTCCTGTGCCAAATACTGGTCCCTCCATCCAAAAACCAACAGAATGCAACGGAAAACGTGTTCAGGGACTCTTCCTGTCGGTACAGAAGGACTTTGGATCTTTGGATCACCGACATTTCAAAAGTGCCAATTATTTTTCCGTTTAGTTTGGTGGTTGTTGTTTTATTCTCATGTTGTCAATGCAAGGGAATTAAGATCGACGGGAGGTCAATCCTGAACTTGTAGTCACTCCCCAGAGAGGTGGAGCTGACTCTTTTTGTTATAAAAGCATTATGTACAGTCTTTATGCTAAACACAGTTTAAGTTGGGAATAGTCTAAGTAAATGAAATGTTTCACGTGTGTTCAAGACTCAGTGAGTCCCTGGGCAGGACCCAGAGTTTTATAGACACGAGGACAGCTCGTCCTCAAGAGGACACTGCCCCCGGAGGGCAAACCAGAGACGCAGTATGTATATTTGAAATGGAAAATACTGAACAGCCAGTATGTATAACAACTTCTGTCTGTTACACTCATCATTTTGTATGGTATTGAAACTGACCCTTAATTAAGATCCGCCCATGAAACGCAGGCTGGCCAATCCCAAGCTCTCCCCAGTCCCATAACGTTATGTCTCTGTTCCACTCTCACAGTCCCTCCATATTAACTTCTTCTTAGCTAGGAAGGCTTGGTCGAGTATTGGCAGGGGACGGGGGCTAAAGCAAGGGACAACGATGTCCCGCAAAGAGGGTGCAGGAATGTGTCCATAAACCTGGAAATGAGTCTGTATTTTAAGCTCTCACGGCTCCTTTGGCCCAATCCCAATCTCCACCCTTACTGACTCACGCACTTTGAGGCGCGCTCCTGCTGATTCCGTGAGGGTTCAGTTCACTTCCTCTTTCACCCCACGAGGGCTTGAGGCTCTCTGGCAGACATTTTGAGCATTTTATGAACCTTTTTCTGTAAGATGGTGACTTTGCCCAAGGGAATTACCCACAAGTCATGGCAATGACGTTAAAAACGGGATAACTTGTGAGAGCTTTGGAGACGTGAAAAAAAAAAAGGATGACACACGTGTCTTTGGATGACGTTAAAAGAGACTATATTTATAAATGCAAAATCAAACCAATTGGAGCAAAGGAACGTAAAACATTATTTTAAATGACTTTTCGTTTAATGAATAAAGAGCCTGAAATCGAATTAGAGGGTAAAGACTTAAATAAATACCCTCAATTGTAAATCATCTTTTTGAACGTTGTCATGGTGACGCACATGTGGCATCATTCACATTTACATCATTTAAAGCCCTCACAGACTCTCACGCTCAACCATTTTCCAACCCCTGAGGGTTTAGGGCTCAGGATTCCTTTGAATGGGTTACTGTTCGGAGCAATAAGCTCTGTGGTGAACACAAGCCGAAGAGAGTTCTACAGCATTCAAGACGCCAGTAAGGAGTTTTCAAGCTTTAACATGGCTTGTAAGATGCTAAACGTCCTACCTAGTCTACCCATTACAGTCTTGCATGTTCCACTCATGTGACCGTGGTGTTAGTTTATAGCCAAACATCCTACATTCAACAGAAAATCCTGAAGATGGTGTAGATTTGCAAAAAATGATCTTGCCAACCAAAACGTGTAAACGTCGTGGCCTGTGTTTGCCACAGAGCTTATGCAAGAATCCCAAATCCACTGGAAAAGTCCTACTGGCATTGTCCAGGTAACCACAGTAAAGCTAACTTCAGGGCTGGCCTGCAATAAATAAATAAATACGGTTGTTGTTTTTTACTTTTTAATTTAGCAGTTTCCTGAAACCAGACATGTGTCTGAATGTGCAAAAAGTGCCGGGTCAACTGATCCTCATGTATGTCCTTTTGAAGTCAAATGTGCTTTGGGATTATTTGTGTGCAAATGTTTGAATACAGTTCATTTGGAGGTCAGATTTTTTCATCACTTAATGTGTTTTTAAACAGAGGTGAGAAATAAAATATTTTCTGATTCTGTCTTTTACCACATTGTGTATGTTTCCAATTAAATGCCTTAAGAGGTAAGATCTCATGAAAAAACTATACACAGAATTACACAATGACATAAACCCTCATGAATCTATGATTGTAATTTAAACAATATTTAGTTAAAAATATCTAATATATAGATATATTATATCTATATATTACATATATTTGTGGAGTTTGTCTACTATGTCTATTATGTATTGAACATTTAGGAGTGTGCGTGTGAAACTAGAGCACAGAGGAGTCCGGCCCTGTGAAAGACCAACACAGCGGGTGAATACTTCACAGCTCACCTACACAACGGCCCCATGTGACAAATGTATATGTAAATGAACAATGAAGTCACAGCTTTTTCTGTTAACTTGTTGAGGGGAAAACTTGCAGAGGTTGCCGAAAGAAAGGTGACAACGCTCTCTATATCTGGTCCTGTAGGCCTCCATCCTTCTCACCTGGTCCTGTAGTCCTCCATCCTTCTCATCTGGCCTTGTAGGCCTCCATCCTTCTCACCTGGTCCTGTAGTCCTCCATCCTTCTCATCTGGCCTTGTAGGCCACCATCCTTCTCACCTGGTCCTGTAGTCCTCCATCCTTCTCATGTGGCCTTGTAGGCCTCCATCCTTCTCACCTGGTCCTGTAGGCCTCCATCCTTCTCACCTGGTCCTGCAGTCCTCCATCCTTCTCATCTGGTCCTGTAGTCCTCCATCCTTCTCATCTGGCCTTGTAGGCCTCCATCCTTCTCACCTGGTTCTGTAGTCCTCCATCCTTCTCATCTGGCCTTGTAGGCCTCCATCCTTCTCACCTGGTCCTGTAGTCCTCCATCCTTCTCACCTGGTCCTGTAGTCTTGTATGTTGAGTTTCAGTGTGTAATCCTAAAGGTCCGTTTGCAACCATCGATACCGTACTAAAGAAGACTTGGAGACTTTTCTTAACGTTAGTAATTATTACACTCTCTCTGTCGGGTTCAACAAACTAAAACAATAAGAAAAAACAATAAGTGATAAGTGCTGTTATCAAGTGTGAACTTGCCTTTGTCCAGTTTAACTTTCTATTGTTTGTATAAAGAAATACATAACCGAAAAACAATCATTAATTGTGAACTTACCTCGGTTATCAGCATAATTCTCAATAGAACAAATATCAGTTTTCAAGGATTTCCTTTTGCATTAAATGTTTAGGATGAAATGGAGAAAAAAAATGCAGTTTAAATGATAAAGAAAGAAGAAAAACAATAAATGTAAATGCAACACAGAACTGTGACGTGAAAGCATTTCTAAACTTAAAGCTAATAAAAATACTTTACAAATGATTGACAACACAAAAACAGTCTAATGCACTTTAAATAAATATTTGTTTTATCAGTATTACAGCTATTGTTATGACATGTCTGGCAGTGTCGGGCCCATCATAGAAAGGCTCTTGATCAGAATATAACGAGGCGCTCACTCCCTGGTTTCCTGATCTGGATTCATATTCCAGTGGTCTTTTCTTGGAAAAAAAAAAATACCAGAACACTTAGTAAACTAACGTTAAGTGTTAAATGTTGATTATTTTATGGTTTCAAAGCAAAACAAAAGTTTTCAGACCACCACATTCGTTGCTTACATACTCCCCATCTTTCCCACAATAATTATGACAGCATGTCGCTTAAGTAATTATTTTACGGGCAGAAATCATCCAGTTTTCCTCCAAGTGTGGGATTTCTTTCCAGAATTCCTGATTAACGTCCGATTTGAATCCAGAACTTGAGCTGGTTTCTTCCCTGGAGAGGCTTTGAATGATTTCATAGCTTCACTAAGAAGTAGGAGAAATAAGGGGAGATGCTTCTGGCGGACCAGATGTGTTCAGGCTCCCCGAGGTTTACTACAACTTATAGTGGAGTAGTTTTCTGGATTTTTACGGGATTCATCGCTTACCGTATATCCAGTTATCTAAAATTGAGTGACAAATATATCAGAAAAATCTCTAGATAGCAAATGCATTTAAATTGGGAACTTTAGAAATATGAAAAAAGTAAACAGACCACATCGGCCACCCAAACGTATGAGGGATCAGCTTTTGATATTTGCACAATACATTATGTATCTGAGAACTTCGGTCTTTATCATTGAATTAACCGAGAAAATGTGTCCAAACCTTTGACTTTGACAGCTTCAGAGGTTGAAAAAAAAAAAAAACACAGACTGAACTTTTTTTTTTTCTTTTATTGTTTACAAAATACCAACATAAATACCTAAGAAGAGGCTGTGTGATTTTGCTGTGTGTGGATATGCGTGTGTGTGTGTGTGAAACCGAGGAGCAGGCAGAAAAGACCACGGGAACAAACGCTCCACCCCTCTGTAACGAGCACACAGTGGCTTTCACTGGTGGGGAAACGTCACATACCACACGGACAGCGAAGAGAAGGGACACGTTGTACAGTGAAATAAAACGCACATTGCATAAAAAGGAACCAAAAATGATGAGATAACGCAATATATAAAAGCACAGCACAGTGCGGAGGCCCATCTATAAAGGGGACAATATATCCTGCAGCCCTTGTAACGGCCCCCACAGGGCCGGCGGACGCTGGTTGGATGGTGAACAGCGGCTCTGGGAAACACAAGATGGACGGACCTCCAGATACGACGCGCGTCGACCGGCGCCCGATTCACTGTCTGTCTGACTTCCCTCCATTTCTTCATCACCTTAATAAATACTTGTGACAAAGGACTTAAAAGTGGAAAGGAAATGACAACCCCCCCCACCCCCCTTCCCCTCGTCAGAATTTAAAGAAACCCCTTATTGTCATCCTCCATTCGCACATGCAATCAGACCCTGCTCCTGTAGCGTGTCCAAAGTCAACTTGGTTACACTCTTATGGAACCCCCGTTATATTCAAAGCTGTAAAGTTTATAATATCTGTACACAAAGGCTTTTTTTCATTTTGTTTTGTTGCAAACTACAATCATCCGTTTCCAGAGCAAAAGCAAATCCCCCCCCCCACAGTTCTGTTACAGTGAAGATACATGGCGGGAAGGGATAAAAAAAACTAATTAAAAAACGGTGCTAAAAGGACCATATAGAGAATGTGACGGGACACACAAGGGATTTTCTCTACTTCATTTGGAATTTATCTCTGGCAAAAATACTACGATCCAAACTAAAACTTCAGAAGCGTCGCCTCCGCACTGCAATAAAAAGCTCCAATAAAAACACGAAGACCCTCAAACTCTCGTCTTTCTGTTGTGAACCTCGCGCTTTACCTCGGCTTTGATCATGGGCCAATGTGTATATAGACAAGTGGTGGAGCCGTGACACTTTTATGCACTACCTGAAATGTGTATGCGCATGAACATAAATGCAGCCGAGGACGCGCGCGGCTACAACGCGGAAAAACGACCGGCGGTACGTTGCCACGACAGCGGACGTGACCCACCGGAGAGGACGTTAAAGGAAACGGAGACACACACATTTAGGGGGATTTCTCTACTCAAAACTGTGCAGATCAGCACTCCTGTGATTTGGGGAGTATATGATATGATCCGCACACAAACAGTAGCTCGCTCACTGCGGTCGCACTATGGATCACAACCCGAACCGAGTCCAGCTGCAAATGACTGCATGCCGCGTTTAGATTAAGCACTATGTGTTTTAGTTCTTACAGTAAAGACTAGAGGTTTGTGGCAAGAGACACAGAGAGGGGGGGAGGGCTAAAAACTACAATTGTTCAATCGCCTGCCAGGTGGTAGAAGAAGGGGAGCCGTTCACTGGGCGGTCACGTTAGAGCCGAAGGTCTCCTGGGAGGCGTACACCATGTAGAGGAAGCCATCTTGGTCCCGCTCCCGCTCATACACCTCGGAGATGGCAGCCGACACGGACACCATGCTGTGACCGTTGGCCAGCAGGAAGAAAGCCTGGTTGGAGTTCAGCTGGAGGCGCCTCCTGGTGGAGAGACGTGGACATGGCAGAGTCAGTGGGAGGTAGGAGGGGAAAACTGTGCAGTGGAAAAGAGGACTTGAGGTTTACCTGATGATCTTGATGAGTTCACTCATGTTGACGTGGTCCGGCACCAGGAACTTGGTCTTGTCCAGGATGGGAAGCTGCTTTTCTCCTTTATACCGCTCAATGATCACCTAGAGACACACACAGTCGATCAATGACTCCTCCCCCTTCTGAAAAGCTGGGATTCTACATAGGGAGTATTTCCTGTGTGGTTTTTAGATCCCAAACCCAGACACCAATAGTGCGACTGGATGGGGAGACAAAGTCCCTGATCAGATGGATTGTGGGGGCGGTTTCTGGATTGTCTGGATCTGTAGTCCATGTTCACTACAACAGCACTGAATACACAGACGCAAGGAGGTGTGAAAAGGCACGCAAGGGACACGCAAGGGGGTCTTGCGTCTGCGTCGCTCTGAAAACGCAGACGCATAAACTAGGCTTAAATCTTCCAAGTTTGGAGGTGTTTTGAATAGGCGAACCACTCGCATCACTGACAAGTGCAAATCGCTCCAGCCACAGTCATCCTCTGATTGACTCAGAGATCAGTTAAAAACTGTCAATTTACTTATTGGAGCATCCGATGTCTCACTTACGGATTACTGCGTGCTTCTGAGCTCGCTTTGATGGGACATGATCTGCTATGAGAAACCGTTTGTTCAATTCTTAAGTTATGAGAAGCTATACTGTATATAAATTGTCTTTCATAAATTATTGTTATGTGTATATATATATATATATATATACACACACACACACACACACACACACACACACACACACACACACACACACACACACACACACACACACACACACATATACACACACGTGGCTTGTGGCTCTAGAAGACGGAGATCTTCCCCGTTATACAAAACTTACTAGATAAATACAGATTTGTAATAAGAACAAAACAGCCCGACAGAAACTTGGACATGGAGAAGAGTGATCAGCACTGGCTGGTTTGTTTGCCGTATCGTATCAGTTCTGTAACGCACTCACCCGGACTTTTCATTTCATTTTCATTCTTGCTGACTGTATTTATTTTCTGTTTGAATAGTTATGCTGAGAAGGGTTTCACCAAATCAGCATGAACAATTTTCACCAAAAACATTAATGAGGAAAAAAATATCTAAATAAATTGCTGATCTCAAATTTGAGCCAGAATCCACTGGCACCAATAGAAGTTATTTCTTACATTTGTTCTTAAGAAAGTTCCTACGTGTGATTCATGACGTGTTCTTAAACGGCGGAATCGTTCGCAGGTGCGGTCTTAGAAGGATGAATCCCAATATGTCGGAAATTGAAAGCTCGTGCCCCGTTGCTCTTATTTAGCAGAGGTCAACGCCCATAAAAGGGCATGAGATGGAAGGGCCGTGTGCACACCCAGAGAAATGTCAAAAAGACGTGGGAAAGACATTGGAGGCCTCGACTCCAAAAGAAAAAAAAAAAAAAAAAAGAACTCATCATATAAGAAAATAAAATAATTAGTTGCAAAATTATAAAAGGAGAGAAATATTCTATTTTAAATTAGAACAGACGAAAACGGTTTAACTATTTATCAGCAAACATGTCAGCTCTCAATTGTGTGTAAGAGGGCTCTTGGGTGTCCGTAAACTCTGTTCCCAAATAAGAAAACATTGGTGAATGCCAGAATCTTCGTGAACACTGCCGAAGTCGGGATTGAGCACAGATTTGTTCTTAGGAACATTTGATGAATGAGGCCCAATGTTCAGTGAGGCAGACACCGCTGCCCCTCTTCCTCCTCCCCCGGGCTGCAGCGGCATTACAGGCGTCTGCCTCTTATGTCAGCCCTTGACATGGCAGTTTATACCAGTGTGCGCACACACACACACACGCACACACACAGAGGTAGCAGATGGAGATACTCGATCTCAAAACGAAACAAGCAGTGAAACGTGAGCTGCGTGTTGGTGTATCGCTGGTTGCTAGGAGCTCCTGGACACCCGGCTCAGCAGCGCCAGCAGTCGCGCTGCGTTTCGTCATCACGGAAAGAAAAAGAATGTGATCATAAAGACGACGTCTGTGGATGTTGTGAGAAATAAAAGACCATCAAAGCAACAGGGAGCACAACCAGGAAACAGAGGCGTCCGCCTCGCTCTCCTCATCCTGTGTGCCGCCGCCGGGGGGGCCCCCCCCCCTCTTCCCTGCGACCGGTTCCAAAATGGGTTATATTTTTCTTTGCCCCCGTTCCCCAAAAAACGGCGGGGGGGGGGGGGGGGGGGGGGTGAACTCACCGGTATCTTGTTGGGGTGCTGCTCTCGGATCAGTCTGACATCTTCCACCCGCTGCTCTGTAGGGCAGAAAAGCAGACCGGGGGTTAATGGAGACGTGCAAGCGGACAAAGAGATCAGCAGGCCCGGGTGGGGGGGGGCGGAGAATCAGCCGGCGCTGATAAACACACGAATGAGGTCGTAGACAAAAGCAGAAACATGCAAACTCACAAAGAGAAGTCGGTAACAAAACTAGAAAACTCAAAGTCATTGAATAAACTAACCCACATGCAGGTTTTACCGAAACTCTCAAATGTAAATTAGGACGAGCTATACGGAGGTGTCACGTAGCATTTCTTCTACTGAGTAAACGAAACAATGTGGTCTCACACACAGTGTGTTTACATGATGGTATAATTGGAATCTTTGCTCAGTCGGACTATGCTATCTTTCGGGGGGAGGTGCTATTATCCCAATATACATGAATGAATAAATCGAATCATTGGCCGAAAGCATATCGTCATATCCGATACGATAGGTGGCGCTGTTTTCATTACAGCTAGTTGTGATGCAGCCATTTCCGCTTGACCGCTTCACCACTACCAACAACAACAACATTACGAGAAAGATGGCGAAGGTGAAGGTGAAGCTACATCCCTCTACTATTTGTGCATGATGTTAATAAGAGTAAGGAGTAGGAGTATAAGAGTACAGCGAATGCGAAAGTCCAGTTCCTTATCCGATTCACCGTTACATGCCGCAATAGTCGAACTACCAACTGGATCGGATCGAGTTATCCAGTGGTGTTAGTCGGATCGTAGTCGGACAAAGGTGTTTACATGAAACGGATCATTCGATTTCAGTCCGACTAAGCCAGTTATTCGAATCCATGTAACCACGCTGACTGTTAAAACTCTTCATACGAAGATCATAACGCGCTTACATTCCATGAGCCGGGAATAAACATCAGGGCAAAGTGGACTAACGAGCTCTGGGAGGAAACATAAAGAGCTTTCCTGAAGAGCCGCTCGTTGTGCGCAGGAAACAATACCAGAATGTGTTGTTTACATCAAAAAGGTACTTCAAGTACGTATGTGTACCTAGAAGCCCTGGAACAATAATAACATGCTCAATAACATCTCAGCTGTAGAAAGGCCTAAATGTTCCCCTGCTCAGTGAGAACCACGAATGGCCAAAACACACTGATTGGATGGATGACTTAAGCCGCTGACGACCTGTTGCAGAGCAGCTCCCCTCCGTCCTGAGGTTTAACCCAGGTCGCCGTGGTTTGTAACCGGGCCAATACAAAGACGCTGCAGATAACACCTCGGGCGTACTGAACTTTGTACTGACGGCATCTTACACAACTGTCTGGTGGTGAAAATGGAATCCGTTGACAAGCTCGCACATAGAACAAAAAAACCCCCCATTGCAACGGTCTCCATCGGATTTGCAGTAAGTAGGAAGAGGGGAGAAGGGAGATCCCGGGCAGCTGTCAGGGCGAGTTGACACTTTGAAGTGAAACAGTTTCCAGTCTTGTGACAAGCCACCAAAACCAACTAACATTAGGCTCATCTAAATTCAGCCGACTGGAGTTCAACCAGGATGATGACTTCACCGCCCGGGAACAGGGAGGCACTGTGTCTCTGTTGATCACACCGAGGGACAAACGGCCTTTGACCCATCGCTTTTCAAGCAATCAAATGAGAGATCAAGCGGAGATTAAAAAGAAATACACAAAACAGGAAGAAGTCAGTTTGAAGGCCTGAGGGGGGGGGGGGGGTGTCATTATTCATCATTTGGAATTAGTCAGCACTGGAAATTCGCCTGTGGAGACACAGTTAGCGGCGCGTGACCTCCAGCAGGGAGTTAGTTTCAGTCATCACGTGACCTTTCGGAGGGTCACGCTCCTCCCTTCGGTTTGTTTAAGATTAGGAAAAGGTTGTTTAGAATTATACTAGTTTAATCAAGGGGGGGGGGGGGGGGCATTTATATTCCGTGAATACTTGATTACAGCAAAGCACCTCGGGGTTTGTCCCAGAAAGGCGGTGCATGCAAAGGTCTTTAGCTCGGGGATCTGGGGAAGGGAACTGAACTCGCCCCGAGGCAGTTCCAACTAGACCGAAACAAAAGCTGAACTCTATCGCTTGATCCCCCCCCCGCTGCCCCATCCCCCAATCCTGCAGCTGCAGCACCGCTCGCTCCTGCGTTTCGACACCACTTTGTTTTTCTCCCGCAGCAGTGATGCAAACAAACACACACACGCGCGCGCACGTACACACTCAGGGAGAGACGGGCCCGCAGCCCCTCGGCCTAGTTTGATCAACAACATTCTAGAACTCAAACGCGTCATTTTAACAGCGAGAACAAACGACCCTCGTCGCAACTACTGCGTCGTATCCCCTGGTGGAGGACGCTAGTTAGCTCGGGCGGGCTAGCGTGTCGAGCGAGCAGCACAAGCCGATTATGTGCGTTGATCCCCGGGCAGCGAGCAGCCGCGCTGCGGGCTCTTTCGCGAGGACCAAACGGCGCAAAACACACAACGTCAACGAGGCAAAGCCGAGCCGCCGAGCGCGGAGCGGCGCAAACAGGCTGCGGCGTCACCTACCGAAGGTCCTTCTTTGTTTGAAGGTTTTTTCTGAAGGCATGTTGCGTCAAAGTCAACCAGTAGGCAGTTAACGAAAACGAAGGTAGCAGCTGGATCCAAAGCGTAAACTATATATAAAATAAATAAAAAATATTTGATGAAACTGTTTCTGTGCTGGGAGCTTGTTGGTAAAACACTGAGTAAAGGACACCAGTTTAGTGACGGTGTGATGTCGCTGCTTCCTTCTTCTTGCTGTGTTGTTATCAGGACGAGCTCGAGCGAGCAAAACAGACGTGTCAGCTGACCTCTGACGTCATGCGTTTCTCTCCCTCCCTCTTTCTCTCTCTCCCATTTTAGTTTGACCAGAAAATTAGATCAGAATGCTTTTCTTTTACTTTTCTCTTAACAGAAAATGTCAATTACCCTTTAAAGTGAGAGAAATTAGATAAATAAAATATGTTGAAAATAAGGTCTATAATTTGATTTGACTCCTCAAAAAATAATTTAAACATGCGGTTCTCCCATTTGGAAGGACCCTAAAATCGAAAATGAGATTATCTTTGGATCAGATTAGATTACCCTTTCTCAAGGACCTAAAATTCAAAACACATGATATCTTCATTATCAGCCTTTCATGAACAAATTAATTTAGCTTGATCAGCCAAATTGAACTTTTTAATGTACATCAACAGTATACGTTTTTTTTACACTGCTACGCCCATTGTAACCATTCGGAAATGTTTTCATGATCAAAGACAGCCCAAAAACTGAACATCTCTCTCACAAATCTTTAGGCCAGTGTGCAAAAACTGAAATGTGTGATGTCATTAAGTATAAAATGTGGAACTTCACCATAAATATCGAATTGTGAAAGATTTCTGCTCACACTGTGAGCACCGAGGGGAATGTTTTGAGTCTATGGGTAAACATTTACTTTTTTTCCACAACTGAGAACATTACAATAAAATAAAACATATTTTTTTGTAATAAAAAAGGAACAACCATACTGTTGGTAATACAGATAACTCTAAAATACATTGTCTATGGAGACTTTATAATGGATATGTGAGAATAGCTGATTGAACTTTCATCAGAAATGGTTGTAACAATTTTTCCAAAAGAAAATTCACACCTTTTACAGCAACCTGAATAACTGACCTGAGCAGTATAGCTTCACAACAGGAATGGGAAGCTGCATCTCTATCCTGGATCTCATCCCAATCTGGTCAAGGGCCATGTACCATCTCACCCCTCATCGCAGTAATCACTAACATCAACAGGCTGAAGTCGCTCCGATCCTCAAAAAACCTGGATTTGACCCAGAAACCTTGAAAAACTTCCGGGCCCATCTCCACTCTTTCCTTTCTGAACCGCTCAGAGCCCCGCACTGAAACAGTCCTCCACAAAGTCATCAATTACTTGCTCCTCTCCTCAGACTGGTCACATGGACATTCTCCTCCACCTCATTGCAGCTCTTTCAACACCTTTCTTGTCACAAATAGACAGTTCATCAGCATGTCGTCTGTCCCAAGGCGTCCCCCAGGGTTCGGTGCTTGGTCCTCTTATGTTTATCCTCTTGCTCCCTCTAGTAAAATATCATACACAGTCTCCAAAATAGTCATTACCACCACTACTCAACTAACTGTGATAAATCAGAGATGATGATCGTGGGTCCAAAATGCATCACGAAACCTTCTAAAAAACATGGCCACGCTCCGCCCATCGCCCGCCACGTGCTGCTGAAACTCTGATCCATGCATTGATTCCCTCCAGAATCAACTCGTGCAACAGCATTGTTGGCACATCAACCATATAGTCCTAAATAAACTCCAGTACTTTGAGAACGCTGCTGCTCGTCTGCTCACCCTCTTCTGCTCCTGTGATCAAACCACGCCTCTTCAGAATCAGGCTTCCCGTCCCACAGCGGATCCAACACAAAGTCCATCTCCTCCGCCACATAATCAGACCCCCTCAGAAGGTTTTTACTGTGTAGCTCTTAATAATGATTTTGAATATCCGTAAAGCGTCTGTGAGTATTCTGAAGAGTGCTCTATAAATAAAACTTAGCATTGTTATTGTTATTAGATCCACTTTATAACTACTAGCGAAAACTATAACTGGACAGACCGGGGGATGTTGTCTCATGTTCAGCAATATGAAAAAGAAAACGGGACCATTACAACGTCGCTGGATTCTACCAAAGAAAAGGCTTCCACTTCTCTGGGAGCTCTTCACCATCACATTTGCATGTGGGTGCTTTGCCATAGTTCATAGAAGAGCCTTCTACTGTCTTTAAATGGCAGTTTGTACTGTCACTGATCACGGCCAGTCTGCTTTTGTCTCTACAGAGCAGATTGCCGAGATGCAGAGCACCTGGTCTGAGAACAGCACACTGACATTACTGATGCCACTGACGTCCACACTCCACATCTGGTAATTATTACTTTGTTTAAATGCAAATAAAACACATCTTTCATCAACCATGGTGTCTGCGCCCTATTTTCCATAACCTGTACAGTATCGAAAAATATGTTGCAACCTGGGTCTATTTTACAATTGTAAAGCGCTCCATACTCTCAGCACTCAACACAGAGAGAGAGAGAGAGAGAGAGAGACAGGGAGGAAGGGAGAGACTAGTACAAAGCCTTCCCCTTGGTTCCCGTTGCTAACCCTTGCATATTACAGGGTGTTTCCCTCCACCTGAAATGAAAAGGTTGGTGTATCAATGACAGCAAGTAAGACTTTCATTCAAATGAATCACATGACTTGGACATGCTCCATTGAAGACCAACACATTATGTGTAGACTAGAACACTAAAGGGACTACGATGTCCCTCCAAATCAATAAAAACAAACACGAGGGCACTGTTCGAGTTGGTTTGAAATTCACATTGATTTACATTTTATTCACTAAAATGCAGCAGGACATTTTAACTGTGAATGTGAAGAAGACATATTATTATTATTATTATTATACACGCGCCGGCCTTTGGTAAATACATATATTTACTGTCCCTCTCTGCTCATGGACACATTGTAGTTCAAAGAAAGAAGACCACGCAGATCCTGCGGTTCTATTTGTTGTCCAGCAGATGGAGAACTCTGATCACCTGTTGAATCCCTTTGAGCTTGACTAGCTGAGACTCAGGCCTCTAGTAGTGTTCCAAATGCACATTGGTAACATGACCAAGTCCCTTCACAAGCGTGAACCCACACAGGGAACCGGTTCACTGAGCGCACGGTAATGACGCCGCTCAACGCGTAACGCAGCGCTTGCCTCTTCACTTTTCTTTTCCAGTTCTCTCTTTGGGAAATGTGTTTATCCACCAAGGACATCCCCGTGCATTGTATTTTTAGTTCGGCCATGCTGCGGAGCCCTCCCTGCAGATTTCCAGCTGAAACCCCCCAACTGATGCTGTGAGAGTGTGTGTGCCAAAAGGGCGCAGTGTTTTTCTGTGTGTGTGTGTGTGTGAGTGGGCTGTGAACGTGCTGGCAGCCAACCAGGTGTGTCTATGAGAGTTATATGAAGTCAGTTAGAAATAATCTACAGCCAACACACACACACACACACACACACACACACACACACACACACACACACACACACACACAAAGTAGCATCTAACACAGTAGAGCTGTGTGTTTGTCTCAGCATGGCGCAGGCCCAGAGGACTGTGTGTTGAGGTGCGTATATGAAGCATCCACCCCTCTGTTTCCCAGTTAAAGACAGCTGTAGACACATATAACAAATACAATGGTGGGTCTGTGTTTTGAGTGTGTGTTTGTGTGCAATCTGTGTGTGAGCAGACACCTATGAACCGGGGGACACCCCTACGCCTTGAATCAAATATTTGCTGTCAATGTTTAGACCCTCTCCTTCCCTCCTCAACGGGCCTCCGTCTGCTCCTTCCGCTCATTAGGTGGTGGTGTTGTGATCTGATGGCTCTCACCGCGAGGCTCCACAAGTGCAAAACTGGTCTCAATCAGTCGTACAGATGGCTGAAGTGGTAATCCGTGTGAAATGAAATGTTGACAGTGTTATAGGGCGCTATGTAACAGGGAGGAATAATACCGGCGCGGTCGATAACAATAACAGGTGAGGGATCTGAAGACCCCCTTCAGATCCCTCACCAAAGGTAGACGTTGTGTGTGTGTGTGTATGTATTCCCATTGTGTAAAGTGGTTCCCACTGTGTATTCATCAACGTATAGAAAAAAAAATGAAATTAGCTGCTCTGACAGAGACCATCCCCATAGAGTAAAACTGCAACATATGTACAAATAACTGACCAGCAGTAATTTATTGGTGCAACTTGTTTTACCTTGTACACACCCTTAAATAATTTTATAGAAAAAGAATAGTCACCAATGCACATATGAGAAGTGACAATGGAAATTGCTTAACTCAATGCTATATTGAATGAAGTTAGGTTGAATGTCACTCTACTGTCTAACCAAATGCTACAAGCATAATGTAACTTTAGCCATCTACTCAACCGTTGAGAATTTTCTTCTGAGTGTTTTAGGGCTTGTGGTGTGGTGGTTGCCTCAATATGTGGATACGTATATCGTATTCCCCCTAAGGGATGTTATTGCTGGAGATGTAGGTACAAATATAGTATGGAAATGTAACAAGTATCACCACATTGCATATTTTAAAGAAAAAAGGAAAGACACAAAGAAGCACACATTAAAATTGGTACTCCCAAGATGGCAATTTGAGGACCTGGACTAAAAGACATACCTTAGAGTACAGGTGTCAAACTCAAGGTCCACGGGCCGAATGACTTTGCTATTGTGAGAATTACAGGAAGGATTCGTTTTGCGCTCCCGGCATGCAGCGCTGTTGTTCCGTTTGGTTACTGCTACTGCTCGTAGCTATGATTTTTAATGGTCTGGCCCACTTGAGATCAAAGTGGGCAGTATCCATATGGCCCCAAACCTGTAATGAGTTTTACGCACATAAGGGTCAGATGTGAGAGGGTGAACTTTCAGTTCAGTTAGCAAAAGTCTCGCACATGGTGAGGTGACCACATGGTGAGGTGACCGTTTTAATGCCCCCTGATGTGATCTAATCATCTGAGTCGAATGAGGCTCTACCATCTGAGAGTGAATGATATTTCTTTTCAAGTAGGGTCGGATGGAGAAGGTGTTTATGAGGGGAATTTGTATAAAAATCAGTCGATGAACATTACAAAAAAATATTAGTTTTGAAGTAGATTGACAATGCAGGGAAAGTTGTCATTGTGACGGCGTTTTAGACATATACCTATTTCCAC